CCCAGTACTGTTCTTTCCTACACCACCACTGATTTTCACTTAAACAATATAGAAACAACAGTGCAATTATTTAAAAGTGTTAACAGGCAACTATGCACGCACCATTGCTCAACCTTCAAATGTCATGAGTTTCAAAATCAGTAAATATATTAATAGGAACCCATACTAATTTCCTTTTTCTGCAAATAGCAACTAATTTGCCTTTTTGTTGGTCTCACGCCACATCTTCAGTGAAGCCCCAAGTTCTTACGAACACTCATCAGTAGATGCTTTAAGATGCTACATATTCATTATATGCACAGTACATGACTCCTTTTATTTCTCTGTCCATATTAAGTCTCACTTAGTAAATGTATGATAAGGTGCTTATCATTCTGGATCAGTGATTATAAAGATGGTGTGTTTATCTAGACACCATTATACTCTATGTAAGCAAATCTAATTTAACATGCAGGCTGAAAATCACAGGTTTTGTTCTCAAATAAGTGTTTTTATGTGCACGCCATGTATTGTGTGTGTGTGTGTGTGTGTGTGTGTGTGTGTCTGTGTGTGTGTGTCTGTGTGTGTGTCTACATGCACTTACCTCCTCCTCCACAGAGCACCTCTGCATTCTCAAAGCCCAGGGTGCTGTATGAGGGATCCAGGCCTTCACAATAGTTTGCTACTTCCATATCTAACAGAGATTTACTCTGAGGAACAGACGGATACTTCATTACTGTTCTCCACCCTTTCTTCTTCTTCTTCTTCTCTTCTCAGACCACTCTATAGTCTCTCTTTCTGCTAGTCCATCTAATTCCTACAGACATGATAAGGGTGATCCCTGGCATAAAAGATCTATAATCCCGTTTGATTGGGCCAGAAGCAGGGAGAGGGGAGGAGCCGTGGAAAAGTCTTCTCACCTTATTGCACATTACTTATCTGTCCTTCTCTCTCGCACTTATCACAGGGGATGGATAGATAGTGAGGAAGGAGATATATCCCTTCACCCCCTCCACTTTTTTATATTTATATATATATTTTCACCATGAGCTAGATTGTATCAGATTTTGAAGGTTGGATATGTATCTAGGGTGGGGGCGAATGGTATTTTCTACAGGCGTGTGTGTGTGTGTGTGTGTGTGTGTGTGTGTGTGTGTGTGTGTGTGTGTGTGTGTGTGTGTGTGTGTGTGTGTGTGTGTGTGTGTGTGTGTGTGTGTGTGTGTGTGTGTGTGTGTGTGTGTGTGTGTGTGTGTGTGTGTGTGTGTGTGTGTGTGTGTGTGTGTGTGTGTGTGTGTGTGTGTGTGTGTGTGTGTGTGTGTGTGTGTGTGTGTGTGTGTGTGTGTGTGTGTGTGTGTGTGTGTGTGTGTGTGTGTGTGTGTGTGTGTGTGTGTGTGTGTGTGTGTGTGTGTGTGTGTGTGTGTGTGTGTGTGTGTGTGTGTGTGTGTGTGTGTGTGTGGGGTGGTGTGTGGGTGTGTGTCCTTCCGAGGCCTCCTAATCTAATCAATAATGGAGTAATAGCACCACCACCCTCAGCAGATATAATCTATGAAGACACAAAGTGAAGTGGAAAACACTGATAACTTCCAGTACCTCTTCCACAAACACTCCCTCATTCAACATCCAACCCTCATTCATTAAAGTTAATAAAATATGTATTATGTAGGCCATTTTCTAAGCTAACTGGCCACTGTAAACATCTCAAAAGACATTAACTGAGTTGAAAGACTCTAGTTGTAAAACTTGTATTTCTTTTTTTTTTAATAGCTTAGTGGGTCATTTTTTCAACAATTTCTTGTGGGTTTAATTTAAAAAAAAATGGGATTTTATGCAGGAATGCGTAAAGCTGGCTACACACCAACCCGATTTTGGGAGTCAGAGGCCGTCAGAGGCAGTCGGGCATTCGCGGCGCCCTACTCAGGTTGGTGTGTCCCGCACCGTCGTCTCTTTACGGCACCTTTTCACACCTCAGAGGTCAGAGAAAGTCGGCCCAAGCAATCACTCTGATTGGCTGTTCACACTACCGCTGCCTGCTGGCAAGGACAGTTATTGCCACTCGTCGACTGAAGTATTTGCGGTGTGTTCGTAGGTGGGCGGCGTAGGTGGGCGGCGTAGGTGGGCGGCGTAGGCGGGCGGCGTAGCCGACGCAGGCGACGTACAGTAGCTGACGTAAAAGTCGGGACGCCTTCGGTATGCGTTCTTTGGTCTCAGGTGGGTGTGTAGCGGCCTTAAAAGTCATTGTCTGTAATCAGTAATTATCTACATTTGTAGGTTGCTGCTGCTGAAGATGAATGAGCATTTTCAGACAGTGATACACTTAGAGAATCTTTGTTCTTTTCCTTTGATAATGATGAGCCAATCAGCTGGGAAACACAAGTAACTACTAGAGAGCAGCCTGCATTATTGTTTAGCTCGAGTTCTAAAAATGCATGAGAGGAAGTGAAACTCAAAAATACGGGTTAAACAGTTGTCAGTGAGCTGCCTTTTCTTCAGTGCAGGAATGCTGTAAACACACCGTAATTTAGTACCATAAACCTGTAAAATGTCCCAACCCACCCATTTTACATCGGGAGTTTCATTGCACTAAATCTTATTGTGTGGCTTAAAGGTAATCAGTTTGGGGCATTGTGTTAGAGAGGGCCGTAAATGATAAGAGGCAGTATTATGGGAGATTTGATGCCCTACATCAGTAATGAGAGATAGCAACGCAGCCAGTAAATGAGCAGGCGCCGGGGTAATATTGGCTGAGTAAATCAGAATGTACATTATCGCAGATTACTTAGGGGACATAAAGGGAAAAAGCAATTAGTATCCGGTCACAGGGTAATAACTGACATCTTAGTTAATACGCAAGGCTGGGATAAAAGGGGTTGAGTGTCATAGCCAAGAGAGAGAGAGAGATAGAGAGAGGAGTGATAGAAAGAAGTGAGAGATTACAGTTTAACCAGGCCTGCTGACTCATCAGGTTTCTGGAGGAGCAAGAATAATTTACTCTTTACAACCACACACACACACACACACACACACACACACACACACACACACACACACACACACACACACACACACACACACATATAAAAAGGACTGACACGGCAGCATGAGTGTGGTGGATTCAATGTATCGTCATCGAATATGGAAGTCACTCTGCATTAGGTTAAAAGAAGGGGTAAAGTGAGAATATACACTGCATGTGAGTGGTGTTTAGGGGCTATCAATGATTGGTTTAAAATACAAAAAGAAAGCAAGGCGTGTTGAGTTTTCAAGCTTTGAGGACAGATGAAATTCCAGTATTCATTCAAGTGAAAATCATTTTTGCTTTTCTGAGGCTTTTCTCTTTCAGCCTCACCCTCCTCTTTTAAGTGCAAGGACAACACGCTTAGGAATTCAAGTCTTTATAATTCTCATGAATGCATTTAATCTTTTTCTTTCTACCCTTTCAATGTTTGACCAATCATGCCCTCTTGATTTATCTAGATACAATGTCCCAATCACTCTAGCTAATCAGCGGATTATAAAGACATGACACTCTGAATATTAACACTACTAGGTTAACATTACACATTCATACAAATACTTGAAAACATTATGATTTCTTCAGCTGAAAACCAAACAGGACGTCACTGAGAAACCGTGTCTGCTTAGCAACCAAAAGCTACACCAAGCCATAAAGCCCTGCGCTAAGAGGCTACCTCTGTGTGAACTGGCCATAATACTGTCGCCTCTCTTTAGATTAGAGGTTTTAATAGTGGCAGATGATGCTCAGCCACCAAACTGACTCCAGTAAACCTCTACTTCCTGATACCTGGGCAGCAGTAAAACACAGTAGAATATTGTTCACTCTTGAAACTCATCCGACTGATTCGCTTTTCTTTTGAAAGAGTTATTTGCTTTGTATTCATGCTATGCTATTGTGCAACTTAATAGAAACATATTAAAGAATCATTTTAAATAGTCAACAGCACTCCTATAACACTTTACAATTCCCTGCATTATTGATGTGTTATGCAAAAGGTCCTTAAAGTTGCTAATATCAACCTTACAATAAATTACAGGACTACATCATGTTTTCTGTGCGTATTATTATATTACACACTAATGTATCTATTTAATTTTTAGCATGTATGTATTTTCAGTAGTAGTATCACAGTAGAAAAACACAATGTGTCTGTATAACCATCTTTCTGCTTAGCAACCTGCTGCTCTGTAACACTGCTCTTCTTATTGATGACATCCCTGTACAGGTGAACAAGTTTATCACATGATCTTTACATCACCGCATGCGTGACACATAAGTCTATCTTATCTTTTTTTCACAAAATACTGTCTGCAGACAGAGGCGAGAACACCATCTCATTAAATACACCGGACAAAACAAAACACATCATCTACACAATTTGGGCAACCCCATTTCTATCCTACAATTCAAAAGCATACTCTTTACAGAACACAAAACCAATTGAAGTGCACGGCGAGTAGAAGCATTACCTCCAAAATATAAACCACGTGATTTAGCAGAACCAAACTTCCTTCATTAAGAGCTCAAAGTAAGCTTCCTCTTCAAAACCAAAAGCATAACTCATAATTCTTACAGTTGACGTGGATGTTTTGCATTTTTAGAACTATATATTTTCACGGCAGGACTTTGACTTACCTGTGCTTCTGTTTCCGTCTGGAATGTGCATTTATCCAGGTGTACCGTGATCAGCCCTTCAGTGCGACATTAGTCTCCCGCTGAGAATAGGTCAATGATAAAGGCGTTCAACAACATTAAAAGGGAAGGTTGGAGAGCTGAGCGGGATATAATTCATGGAGCAGCACATTGGATGGCGCCACCATAGCCCTGTCATTAGATCGATTTACTAAACAAACTCAAACCAGGGTGGGGATGTTAAACAGTAACCCAGAGCCATAAAAACCAAAAGGAAAGGATCACCAGGTGTGTGTGTTTGTGTGTGTGTGTCAGTTAGGGCCTGTAACACCCCCTCTGAGGACAGAAGGTAACAGATTCAAGAGGCTTGAGGTAATGTTTCACAAAATAATGGTGAAGAAGTAACCATTTTAGACATTTATTTCACTCTGTACACACACAGGGTTAAGTGTTGGCTAATATGTTGAAATACATGTAAACTGTGTACTTCATTCCGACTCTTATGTGTTTTATAATAAGTAACATATTGGATAAAACAATTAGGAAACCAAACAGCAATTTTATTAGCTAGTATTACAAATATAATGTTCGAAGCCTGTTTTATATCCACACACACCAGCAGATGGCAACAGTTCATTCATTTTGAGCCAGGAACAGTTTACAGTCTCACATTCTTACAACATTTGCAAAAAAATTGAATATTATTGCATTTCTCACATCAAAAAAATACTGCAGAGGACACAACAGTGGTAGGATTTAAAAGTGGGAAAGCATGATAAATACAAAAGAATATTAGCTCCAAAAAGACCAGAAAATACCCACTGAGTAAAGATTATTTTTGTATGTTTTATAAAAATCTCTTCTTTAATGTTTTTGAAGTTTTAATCCAATCAGTGGTAAGGATTTTTTGTAATTTGAGTAGTTATAACATTCTGCTTTTTATAGAAATGCACAATAGCCATTTTGACCCTAACCTGATTCCTACTTCTTCCAAAATAAAGCAAATCAAGTATCTGGAGTGGACCCCCTAACGCTTCCAAGAAATGTCAAAAAGTCATTTTGGGGCAGCACATGAACCAGGTTCTCCTGCCCAGGAAGGTGAGCATGTCCAAACAATTAAAAGTGGTCAGAGTCAGAAACACCTCGTTGACGTTCTCCAGGTGGATGTTTTCTAAGTAGTTGAGCCGGAACATGTGGTAGGGGATGAAGCAGACGACCATGACGAGAGCGAAGCACAGACTCTTCTGCTGAGCCCCGTAGTCCTGCTGCGAGCTGCACCCCTCGCGGTGCTTCTTATATAAAACCCTCAGGGCGTTGGCTTGGAGGCCTGTTAGCACTGAAGCTACCAATATGATCACTATACTGACGATGTAGATTAACACCTTTGCATCAGCTATGTTGTTGCCAAACTTGAAGCAAGTGGTATTTGTGTTGTTTTTACTGCTCTTATCGTTTCCTATTTTGCCGTAGAAAGAATGCATGATGCAAGGGACCACGACGAGCACCACTATCCACACCACTCCACTGACGAGGAGAGCGTGGAACTTATGGAACGATACCACAAGCTCAGCGTTGTAGTAGAACGACATCAAGCGTGTGACGAGGATGATCACGTAGAAGAGGAAGGACATGTACATGTGGATGTGGATCATGCCGCTGACCACCCGGCACCACCCGGGGCTCAGGGCCCATTGATGAGTGGCGTAATAGTAAATCCTGAAGGGCACGGTCAGGAGGAAGAGGAAGTGGGTGAAGATGAGGTTGAGTACGGCTGTGGAGGTGATGGATGTGGAGCTGAACCTCATGATGTGCATCATCAGGCTCAGGCTGATGATGCCACTGAGCAGAACCACCGAGTTGATGACCAGGAGGACGGTGTGGTACTCTTTAGGGTTTGAGGTGTTCGGTGAGGAGCTTGAGGTCATCATGGAGGTCATCATGGAGGTTAAGGCCGAAGATAACACGCTTTGGGTGACCGTGGTAGCCATCTTAGATAGGGAGAGAAAACAGGAGGAATTGACAGAGGAACTGAAGATTAGTGATGTGATGAAGGGAATCAATCAGTTCAGGGCTTCTTTTGAACTATTTCTTCCATGTTGTGTGAATTTTTCTGTCCATGTTTTCTCCTTAAAACGTTTTTTTGGGGGAGTAAAATTGACATGACCATTTAAAAAAAACCGAAGTAGGCTTAACCAAAAAAATAAAAATAATAATACTAAATACAAAATAATGTAAAAAATTGGCTGATGTAGCTTATGTTTGAAACACCACATTATATTGACATACTTCACTGACGCTATTTGTTCATATTTGAACACAAAATCCAGATTAAGACATTGACACCGAAGAATAATTTTGTCAGACATGCTTCAAGTGTTTACATCCTGTATCATTTTAACAGGAAACCAAACTTAAAACATACTAAAGATACTAAATCTCAAAATACAAACCCTAAAATGCAAAGATAAGAAACAAACACATTGTTCAGGCCATCAAAAGAACATTGTGAAACTGAAAAGGAAATAGCATTACATGTATAATCGAAAAAGAAAAAAAATACTTACTTACTTTTTAGTAACCACCAGCTGAGTGCTCTTGAGTGTGTGAAAATGAGGCATACAGAGCGAGTATTTCCTCTACATTAAATCTAATTATGTTTGTCATCAGGTTTTGTCGGTGCACATGGGAAAAGCTCTTCGTGTGATAAACGCCTGTGTGTGTGTCTGTGCACTTATTGGTACCAACTCATGTGGAAGTTGAGATTGTGAAAATCAGCCTTGTGTGTGTTTCACCAACCACCGTTCAGTTTTGCATAATTGTGTGTGTGTGTGTGTGTGTTTGTGTGTTTGTGTGTGTTTAATTATTTGTGCGTGTGCACTCCTTTAGAAATTGGAGGTGTTTCACACAACCAGGAACTTGGCTGCTTCCTCCTTCTGGTCACTACACTTCTCTACTTATTATTTTCTTTAATATTAAACTATATACAAACCATTATAATATGATATGAAACTGTAGAGACAATGCCATGTAGAATTGTTGACTAGAAATTGAAATGTATAATGTAGGAGCAATATAAAAAATACTTAATGCAATAAACTCTTTACCTAATTTTAAAATACTCTATCCTCCAAGTGTCTTCCTCCCAAGTGAGGAATGACATTTGGAAATAAATCTATTAAATTATTAATATTATGTTGTGCTTACTCAATACAAATCTAATAAATTGTTATAAAATGTATGAGTCCTTATAGCTATCATCATTATGCCATGTTACAAGCAGGTTATACCTAATCAAAACTATATTTATAATGCATTATAGTCATGTGCATAATAGAAAGGATACTGCTATTTAAAATCTCTTATGTGAGTTTTTTGGATTACTGTTTTTTAGTACAAAAAGCCGTCATATCTAAAACAGAAAGCAATAATATTCTGCAGAAGTCATGTTTGTCTTGAGTTTCTAGGAACCACACAGAGTTCAGACAGATCACCTCTTACCGAAATACTCTGCTGCTCTTAATTATTGCATGGAGATCAGTGATACATACAACAACAGTTGTTTACTCTACATTATACTATGGAGTCAGAGTATTGGCCCATTGAAAATAGAAGAAGTGAGAGAGGATGTGGTACTGCTAGCTGTGATGTGGAGACATGTGTTCATCCACTATTAAAACCTGTGCAAGCACTTAGTTAAAAGGCAAATAGTGCCACTCCAGCTGGTGCAATGAAGCTGAGACCATTTAGATATATATTTTCATCATATTCAGAAAAAAACCCCGCAGATGTAAGTACAGAAAATCCCTTGTCCACAAAGCGAGGTGATTTGATTAAAGTAGCAGTAATATTTGGCTATGTTCAGTCAGTTCATGCAGTTAATATTAGCCTACTTTGCTACCCATCATCATGTCCCGAAGTTTGATCTGGAAAACTAAGTTGCACAAGAGAAAACCAGGTGTTTTTATTTATTTAAACAAACTATCCCTAGGTTTTTCAAAACACATCTTAACAATCTTATGTACAGACATTTACAAGTTTCCAAATGCTACCCACAATCCCTTTGCTGCCCACTGAGTACAGGCTCTACAAACAGAGCATAACATTGATACTGGCACCTGGTTTATTCTGTTAATGTTTAGTACAAAACACATGTCTCTTTTGGTTCATTCCTGTTTACAATCCACTCCCTTCATTTAAGTCTTACAAACATATTATCACAATTCTTTTAAATAAATCCCTTCTCCTTACCTTGTGAGCATGACACGTCTCGGGTAGCTTCCCAGGAAATACAAACTCAAAACAGTTATGAGTTGACCTTTCTTTGGTGGATCATGAATCAGTGTCCTTGGCAAAGGCATAAGTTACAGTTATTCAAATGGCCTTAGTCCATCCGTCAATGATTAATGTAAAAACAATAATGTATCAACTCAGTGTACAAAAGAATACAGTGCAAACAGAACCTTGGACAAGTCTCGAGCCACTTGAAAATGTCCTATGTAAACCATCTATCTAAGGAGTTAGTGTTTATTTACATTCATACAAGGAAGAACAAAGGAATAATGTTCTCAACCTGCACTAATTGAGACTGCACAGTACAGTATAATGACTCGTAAAACAATATCCCATATCTCCTATAAACTAACCCTGGCTTAATAAGGTGAATGCTAAATGAAAAGCACCTATACAAAACACTTGGTTGCACTATACATGTTTAGGGGAAGTGGGTCTTGCGCCTCCTCCACAGAATGAGTCTTTGTGAGGTGAGAATGTGCGTGACCACGCTGAGCAACATCAGGAAGATGGTCATCGACATCACTATCACATAATGGCTGATGCTGAAAGAGACAGAGAAATACGTTTAATACACTTATAATCAAGTGTATGCAGCACATTTAAAGTAGAGGCCGAAAGGACCATCAAGGAAAGTGGAGGGTAGTGTTTTTGTGAGTCAAGTGATTTATTGCTAAGAATTAAGACACTTCAAAGCATGTATTTCCCAGGTAACTAACCTTGTTCCTATGTCCAACCAGCTGCCGTAGTCCTGCACCAGGAAGAAAAAGTGCTGAGGAGAAGAAGAAGAATGAGTTGAAGATATGGAAAGGTAAAAGAGAAAAATGATTTGATAAAGAACAACAGTGCATAAAACATTTAACCCAAACATTTCAAACATCCTCACCAGAGCCATCAAGTCCGAGATGACCAGGACAATTAGGAACAAACTGGAAAACAAGAGTGGAAAGAAAGCGTCAAAAGTAAGATCTTTGAAATTATCCAACATCCACAACCACACAAGTGTACGTCATATACAGCATGCATGGTAGAATGACCCCCACTTCACACAAACAATAAATACAAGTATGTGTATAAATTGAGTTGAGCATCTTATTCTGAAGGACTTACCTTCTTGATGAAAGCTGTGTTGCAACCTGGATGGTCTCAAATGTACACATCACTATAATGAAAGGAATGATAACCTGGAAGTTCAGAGAAAACACATTCAAAGTTTATTTCTCAGACAGATGTATCAATATACTATCTGAGGGACTACTCTCCTTGGAAATGCATTTCTTGAGTTATGATGATGAAAGTATACAGATAGGCAGCACAATCAATAAAACAGTTTAAAAAAATGGTACCTTCCACATCATGAGCCCTCCCATGATGAAGGGGTTGAAGACAGTTAGGAAACAATAAACAGACGCTGGGTCAAAACTAGACAAAAGGAGAAAGAAGGACTAAATCATTAAAACATTAAGAGAATAAATCTGTCTCTCCATTGTTTTCTTAAAAGTGCAGAGTGACATTCTGACATACTGATCAGTGCAGTGTAGGAAACCCCACATTAACACAAAGGCATTTCACAAAAGACTCGCTGGCTTACACACAGATAGTTTACTGAGTCCACTGTAACTGTTTTCCTTTCTGTTGTCAAATGAAACATTGCTAGTAAAAAAAAAAGCATGTGTCATTGTTCAGCCACAAAGCAGACCTTCACATTACCCAAGATGCACCATGCACCACCACACCACCCCCAAACACAACTTCCTGCCATCAACCACACACACACACACACACAAGTGTATTTATATACAGTATATGACAATGACAATGACAATGACCTACGTACCTGTTAATGGAAGCTATGTTCCCTGTCCCGAAGAATGCTGTTATTATAAAAAATACCTGAAGTAAAAGTATGGTCAAGGAAACATTTGGAGCATTATCTTAACTTTGCAAAATGATAATCTAATGCCATTTTCTAGTTCTGAACTAAAGTCTCCATTGGTGCCAGTTTTTGTGTTTGAACAATGTCACTGTTGCAACATGCTCTAGGAAGGATACAAAAAAATAAGATCTTCTGATGTCATCCAACTTCAGTTGTCGGATCTTGGTGATGTCGATGTTTGCGGAGAAATCGATAGTGGAGAGCTGAAAGAAAACACACACAAAAGCATTATCACACATTCATTTACACACCCAGAGAGATGATAACGATAAGTTAGCACTCAGACGGTGTGTACTTTATGTAGAGCTATATGTAAGCCCTCTTCACAGATTACAGTGTGTTATCACGAGCAGGGATTTCCTTGTTTATTTAACTAAGAAAATGACATTAAAGGAGTGAATAGCAGATAAATGTTAACAGCAGAACCTTTCAGAATATATATTTACATACAAAAATATACAAATAGAAGGAAAATACGCTTACACAAGATCAGGCAGAGTATTATAGTACATGCCATTAGATAATGTTGCCGTTTTTGTCTTATACAGTTGATAACATTGAAATACTTGGATAATCTGCCTTTTTCCATGAAATAAAACATAGTGTTTACAGAAACCAAGGGGTGTGTAAACTATCAGTATATGTGATTTTAATTCTGTAGAAACCTATAGTAAAATATTTAGACACACACTTTGTTTACAGTGCTTTAAAAACTCTACATTTGGAGACAAACACTTGTTGTTTTCACCTCTTGTCTGCCAGAGACGCCCTGAGCGAGCATGGCTTCCTGTTCAATGTTGATCCACACAAACATCAGCCATGACAACATAGGGGGGAACAATGCCTCTGACCTGGGGGGGGGAAATACATCATAAATGATATAACTCTAAAATGTAATTTGACATGTAAGTGCAGCTGCATGATGTGTGTGTGTAATATTCGTGTCTTACCCGGTGCTGAGCAGCAGGTATGTGGCTGTGAGGGAGAGGAATATGCTGAGGAGTCGGTGGAAGATACGAGTAGAGCTCAACAACGGCACCAGCATGGAAGACACTGAGAAAACACAAGACACAGGTGAGGTGAATGCAATTGCAAAAAAAGGTTGAAAGAATTCCCCATAATTCCTTACTTTCTTTGAGTGACTGCGTAGATGGAATACCAGATTATGTTGAAAATCAAGCCTTACAGTATGTATGTAAGCATTGGATTTCAATCATGTGCCTAAACTTAAAACATACAATCAAAAATGTTCTTTCAATACGTTGTAGTCCTTTAAACCGTTCTTCTTTAAACATCAGATGTTATATCCTAACAGCTACATGACTATGATTGCCTGTTGTATTTTTCAAGTGTGCATTGTCTCAGGAAAGCAAGGCGGCTTTAATTTCAAAAATAAAAATGGATGTCCTACAGACCATAGGCTGATAAAGGGTGTTTCTCAATCGCGAGTAAAGCTGCTTCAGAGCCACTATTTCAAGCATACTACGTCATCGAGTGCCGCCGAAGTACTGTTCCAATCTCCAGTATACTTGGAAATCTACCGAGCCCGGCGTACTCCGTTTGGAGAAATATCGAGTCTGCACATGAGTAGACTTTGCGGTCTTAAAATCCCCACAATGCTTTGCGCACGGACCAATTTCCCCAAATCTGTGGCGGAAGATGTAAGGCGGGGCCTCTCATATGACGCACACCTGCACACTTGCTAGCGTGTTCCACACTTCGTTTTCCGAATGTCAGGAAGTATTCTTGACTCGCTTCTGAAGCAAGATGCTCGGCAGACATGTGCTACCAAGCAAGCGTACTCGCGATTGAGAAACACCCACAGAGTAGTAAACTTATCCTAACCTCTTATTTCTGCATTTCTTCAGGCATTAACAACATATAGAACCCTGTGAGATCTAACCAGGAATTAAATAATTAGATTTCTGTCTTAGATATCTGATTATGTTTTTAGAAAATGACATGAATAACACATCCCCAGGAGATTCTGAGGTGTTGGACAGATGTTGTGCTCACTCACACCCGCCTACCTAACGTGGTCCAGCTGATGATCTGGTTCAGAAGCGGCAGGCCCTGTTTCTGCTGCAGGCTGGAGTGTGTGAGGGACGGCACGTACGCACACACTGCCACATGGAGCATCTGTACAGTGTGACAGGTAATCATTTATTTCAGAAAATGCAATGACTCAATCACACCCAACGTGACATGTGTTGTAGTTACCTGGGTGATGAACTGCTGCCGGTCACTGAGGTGCAGCGGAGCTTTCTGCAGCGCGGACCACAGGTAACAGGTGGAGGTGAAGAGAGAGAGCACACCTGCACATGTACTGAGCAAACACACAGAGTACGTTATTATAAAAGACATGAGCCCAACACACAGATTAATTTTGCACAATATATGTTGAATATAAATTCTGCTGTTAATTAGCAATTCATTTGATAGTTTCTATGGGCTCAGAACAGTCTCATAATACACACTGACATGCATTGACCCTCTTTCTTGTCAGCAATATAAAATGTCTCGCTGATAACAATCTTCCGAGAAGGATTCACACTTGTATTTTATGATACGCAAAAGGATTCACACTTGTATTTCCGGATCCACACTTGTGTTTTTCAATGCCCACACAAATGTGTTCTGTTTCATATTCATGTAAATAAAATCCAAATACAGAAAAAAGTTTTACATATGTATTTTCGATCCTCACATATTTGTTTTCCGTTTAAATCCCCTGCACCTGCAAACACAAACCGCTTTCTGTGCATGGATCGCTGTGCATTCGTGTGTGGGTTTTTTGAGACTCCCCTGACGGTGACCCGATTCGTACTTGTAATTTTTTCTATCTATAGCCAATCAGATGTCTCCTCAATTCTAAGCCAATCACATGAGCGCGTGCCCACGAGGGTAGATTTCTTGCGTTCATGACACTTCATATACGCATTTTGCGCTGTCCGGAGCAGGGTGGACAGAATTTATTTTACCGGACAAATTTGAAACTTACCGGTCATGTTTCAATAATAATAATAATAAGAAGAATAAGAAGAAGAATTGTGTAGCAGAGTTTCCGTTAGCAGGTAATTACCGGACTATGACCGGATGGCTAATAACAAGGGAGTAAGGATCATCTATTTTCCTCTCTCCTGACAGCCCGTCAGTTTCTCATGCAGCTCGCTAAAACTTCACTCGCGTTTATGTCCATATCGATCAGATCCAGCTCTCCTGATCGGCCTTTATAGAGAGCACCGATCAAACTATTAAGAGTGAATATCGGCCGATAATGACCGGCGGGGCTCTCCCCGTTGACAGTTCACTGTCGAGCACTGGCTTCGTAATGCACTGATCGATTAGGCTAAGCTAACCTGTAGCTGCTCCCTCCACACTCACAACAACTTCATACAGACATAAATAAAGCAGCTGTATTCGCCATACAGGAAACACACATTTAAAACGGTTTTGCCTGCCGTTTTTGTGTACACAAGCATTCATTAATGGTTCGGAAAGTGGCAATGTACTGAGAGTGGAGGTGTCCTGAGATTAGCGCCTGCAGACAGGCTCCATGGACCTGTCAGCTCCGGACAGCGCAAAATGCGTACATGAAGCGCTACGTCATGAACGCAAGAAATCTACCCTCGTGGGGGCGCGCTCATGTGATTGGCTTAGAATTGAGGAGACATCTGATTGGCTATAGATAGAAAAAATTACAAGTACGAATCGGGTGACCGTCAGGGGAGTCTCAAAAAACCCACACACGAATGCACAGCGATCCATGCACAGAAAGCGGTTTGTGTTTGCAGGTTCAGGGGATTTAAAGGAGAGGTGTCATGGCCATTTCCACTGATCATATTTCCATTGTTGAGGTCTACTAAAATAGATTTATACTGTGCATTTTTCCAAACTCACATTGGTTTCTCATACAGCATCTCTGTAAACTACTTGTATTCACTGAATTTCACTCTCTGCCTTTAACGGCTCGTTGTAGCTCCAATAGCTCCAGCCCCCACCCTCCCTGTGAGCACAGTGTGCTCTGATTGGTCGGGACGTTGTGAATCGCGCTGAGCTCCGTGGAGGTGTTGTTTCCTTGTTTAGGATACATAGCGAAACACAGCCAAACTCATCCTGAGCACACACAAACTCACATCCGAAGTAAAAACAATAAGTGTGGCTTGATATTGAGTAAGAAAAAGGTTGATAAACGCTGTGAGAATGGGTCTGCAGAGAGAATGGGTCTGCAGAGAGAATTTTGCCGCGATCCCAACTGTCTGTTATCAGCCTGCAGCCAGGGAGGAGAAATCAGCTGAGCTGCCTGCTCCCTGCACACAGATGTGTGTGTGAGGAAGTCCGTGGATCGGTCAATTTGGACCAATCAGCGGGGGCTTAACGTAACGGCTCCGCGGACGTAACGTAACGGCTCTTCGGGATTGGTCCATTTCGTTCCGGGTACGGCTTGACATCATGCCGTACCCAGAACGAAATGGAAGAATCAAATGGACAATGACGTATCTCCAACGAGGCGTTTTGGGGAGGTATTTTCTGTGTTAGAGTTTTACTCGCTACAGGGTGTACTTTGAGGGTTTTGACTCTGCACACCGTTTACATGCATAAAAACCTTCATAACACACAAGGGGACGGGTAATAACCGGAAAAGCATGACACCTCTCCTTTAAACGGAAAACAAATATGTGAGGATCAAAAATACATATGTAAAACTTTGTTCTGTATTTGGATTTTATTTACATGTATATGAAATGGAACACATTTGTTGAAAAACACAAGTGTGGATCCGGAAATACAAGTGTGAATCCTTCTGTGTGCATGTGTGTATTATGAGACTGTTCTGAGCCCATAGTTTCTGCCTCTTCCACTTGACATTATTGTTCAGAATAATCATCAGAATCTGAATTTATCCCTACGAAAAAGTGGGTTTTGTTCAAAATGTTAAAAGTAATAATAAAGAAAAATAGAAATATTTAGATGAACATAAGAAGTTAAGGTAAGGTAAAAATAAATTAAATAAAGGATATTTTAAGAAAAAACATAGGAAGGTAAAGTTAAATGTAAAAAAGAAAGATAAATAAAGTTAATATTTAAATGAAAATGGGAGTAAAAATGTGCACATTGTACAAAAATATAGCACTGAATGTATATTACAATACATGCAGAGGTATATTTTCTTATGTAAAGTACTGCTTACTACATTGTGATTATATACATATAATAATATAGGAAAAATATTAGCATTCATATTCTGACATTGATTCGAACCATATCGCATACAGTACTGTATCTAAAATGTTTTAGCTAACATCACTCTGGTATGACATTTCTGAAAGTATAGCGATATAAATATATTTCCTTGTAACCGACAGAGATTCTTCTGGTTTGAGAGTTTTGGCTAACGGTGGGACATTGTGGTTCACTTTCTGATAAATGTAAGCAAATAGAGGAAACACTCACACCAGATGTATGTTCGGCTCTCTGCCCACAACAGGCATCAGGGGGAAAGCCGCCAAACACAGACAGCCCAGACACCAGCTCACTGAGCGGAACTGCAGGGGGACAGAGGAAATGAGTTCACATAGTTAGAGAAGGAAGAAATAAAAACTAGGTATTTATCAAAAAGAAGGCTGATTATGAAGTTTATGAAGTGATGTCTTGATAAAACACTGATGTTATCTACAAATCTATCAGTCACACCTTCTGTAAGCAAGACGTTTTACTACTGTGTTCACACTCATAGATGTCATTTACACTGGGGACGCAGGGGACATGTAAATATAGTGGAAAATCCATTTGCATGCCCCTAAGCTAAAAAAAACAACCCTAGCTTACTCAATATAAAATGAGTAGTCTTTCATGCACTGATCAGTAACTGTAAAAATGTTTCAACCTACTTTTCAGTTTTTTTCCTCAAATTGAACCTTCCGATTAAATTGCTTAAAAATATATGCTGTAGAGAATTTGAGTATCTTCTCTTCTTCTATCTCCCCTCCATTTTCAACAAAAAGTGACGCCATTGTTCACGCTTCAGTTGTAGGAAACTGTTCCCTTGTTTTCCCAAACTTTGTTGTGATACATAATTTTCCAAAACCTTTCCAGGTGAGGTAATATTAAAATCCCATTACTTTTTCGTTGTGTACAGTACTGTGAAAGCTGGAGCAGTAATCCATGACATAGTTACCTTGGCTTTTCCAAAAAGTCCCGAGAGGAAGGGCCAGAGCGAGAGCACAGCCAGGCCCACAGTCAGCATGGCGCGATGGAAGAAACTCACCACCTGGGGGCAGCAAAGGTACACACAATGACTACCCTTACATTGTTTGTCATATGTACTGTATGTGGAGGTCAACTAAAGGCTTGTAAGTAAAGCTGTATCAGTATTATGAAGCAGACATTTTTACATTAAAATACATGAAAGACTCCTACCAGTAGCTCGATTCCAAACGCCACCAGCACAAGATAGCCAAGACATTTCCACAGTGGCAGAGAGGGAGCCGAGCGAACCAAATCTGTCAGAGTTCTATACCTGAAAGGGATCATTTATTAATGAGACATTATTTTTCTGTTGTGAATTGCATACAAGAAAGAAACATGCAAAGACTGTCTGTCCTTTAATCCATTTTCAGAGGAGGAACATGAGTGGATACACTTCAAAGGATCTAATTAACACTTCACTGCCGCTGTGCCAGACGTGCATGAACATGTTTGTGTGAGGTAAAGTACAAATACAAATCTGCTATATTGATTGATTGTTGAGATGTCCATTGATGTGTGTTTGATATGTCTGGCATCCTGTCTGTGTGAGGTGTTACCCACCTCTCTATAAAAATCAGCATGCAGATTATTATTATGTGTTTGTACTCACTCTTTTAGCACAGAGTACCACACAGGAACAGGCAGCAGGCAGTAAATATAATAGGTAACGGGGCTCCTTTGGATAAGCAGGAACACAGTGATCACCACCGTCACACAGATACACAGCCTCGCCAAAGTGTGGCTGCGATTCTGCACACATGCACCGGGAAAAAAACACCAAAAATGTAAATTAGTGAGACAATCAAAGTAACTTTAATTTGCCTTGGTGGAGGAGATATTTAGAGGCAAAGAGAGAGAGGGATTGTTGTGTATGTCTCACCTGATTGAGGAGACTGGGGTGACGGTCGAGGCTGGCGTGAGTCTTCAGTATCACGAGCACAACATATGAGGTCCAGCCTATGAACCCGAGCACTACGCTGCAACCCAGGAAGAACCTGTCGTAGGTGTGGTAGTACACCAGGCCCTCCAGAGCATTCGATATCAGAGAGTGGCACAGAGAGATCTGACAAGAGGCAGACGAGGGGGAAAGAAAAACATCATTGGTGAATACATTCAACATCATCCTAATGTATTTTAGTATCTGACTTGTCTCACTTGTATACTTGCAAATGTGCCCATACACTGCACTATCCTTCTCCAAAATACTCACATAATCGTCATACTTCTCCAGCTGAATCAGTATTCTGGCCTTGTGGAAGAATTCAGCTTGTTTTGACTCAGTCAGGAGTCTGGGAAAATCAGAGAGACAAAGCAATAAAGTCAGAGTGTGTGAAATTGCATTTAAATGTGGTCTGACATATGGTGAAGAAATAAAACCGGTAGCAAACAGCGATAATATTAAACATGATCCCTTGGTAAAATAAATGCTTGAATTAAAAAATGAACACAGCAAATAAAATGTATGCAATTAATTGACAGCTATCACAATTCACGAACTCACTAATTGTACTTACTGGTATGGGGTGAAGAGAAATGACAAAGTTGTCTCCTTTTTCTGAGCCATTTTCATCTACAAAAACAAACAGAACAGCTCACTCACTATAGATTTCAATTCATTTATAATTATAAGACATTGAATGTAGGCTTATCCATACAAAGAACTTAGAAATGCCAGAGTGTTTAAAACTATCATTTTAAAGTTAGTCTTATTAAAGGTAGGGTAGGTAAGTTTGAGAAACCGGCTCGAGTGCGCTAGAATTTGAAATAACACAACCGGAGAAAATCTCCCACTTCCTTACAGAGCCCCTCCTCCAACACACACGAACGCGCACATGACCAATGAGGGCACGAGATAAGTTTGTGCACAGATGGAAGGCTGACAGGCAGGTAGGCCATCCAGTTATTTTAGCCGGGCCGGTTAAAATGATTGGTCGTACTTTTTACAGTGCTACAGCTTCCACAGATGACATTTTATTATGGATTTTTTGTCAAAGCACTTCAGATATTCATTGCTATCGGGGTGTTAAGAGCATTCCATGGAATATAACAAAAAGTGTATCTCGAGCCGGTTTCTCAAACTTACCTACCCCACCTTTAATCAAATAAATAGTACAGAAAATATCTAATTATACCAACATTCAAGTATATCAACTTTAATTGATACTAATTTATTACCATAAATAAAGCTCAGTAATAGCATAGCTTAATGCATGTATACCTTGTACTGCTCCAGTACTTGAATAGCATTAGTGTAAATGCTCTCCGCCTTGAACTGGTCACTGTTGTTAAGGTAGAGAAGAGGTAACACACCCTGAAGAGACACAAATACACATAATTACTATTAAACAACTGATCAGTTTTTGACAACTTTCCAGATAGAAAGGACTCAAATATTTCCAGTTTCCTTAATTCATCTCCAGACTTACAACAGAGTTAACAGGAAAGGGCACACCAATGAGAGAAGCCATGAGGGGAGCGATGTCTGCCTGTAAAAAACACACAATATATTTAAATATATTACAATAACTGATGAAGTAAATAAAAAGTGACATTGCCATGAGCCTCACTTGATTGACGTCAACTCTTTGAAGGTGCTCCAGTTTCCAATCTGGAAGAAACAGTATGGATTAAAATCAGGACACAATAAAACATTTTAAATTAAACAATGAGAAAATGTATGTTTGTCTTTCAAATTAAGCCGCTTTCACTAAATGTTTTACTTTTTTTTCTATAGGTGTAGGAGAACCTGGGTCCTAAACTAAAGTCGAAAAGAAACCAGCTTGAGAGGCATTAAAGCAGGCAGCTGAGAGAAGAGTAAATGAGTTTAGCACCTTGTAAGAATCCATCGTTGTATGGTTGGGCTGCGGTGACTTTTTGGGCATTTTTAACTCCGGCTCCCCACGCCACTAAAGGTGTGAGAGTCTCAGAGGGATGGCCTGCTCCGTGGGAACCTGGAGACACAGCAGATGATACAAAAGGCTACCGTGAATTAATTTGCATAAGAACATTTTTTTCCAGTTGCTAACAGTTGAAGAACAACAACGAGAGTCCTACCCCAGTTTGTCATGCCATGATCAGATGTGAACACGTAAGCTGTTCTTCCATCATGATCAAAGAAGTCTTCCACCATAGACACCAGATCAGCTACACCAGTGTCTACCAGTCCAATATTGTCGAGGTACTCCCTAGATAAAGAACAGATACAAGACATTGCTTCTTTGTTATTTCATTATATTGTATGTGTAGTGCAACCTAAACAACAACTGATGACATTTCTCTCACTTCGACATTGGTCTGTGAGCATGTCCGTTTGTGTCGATGCCCAGCAGATGCAGGAATAAGATGTTCTGATCCTCCAGTAGACTGGCCCTCAGACTGGAGTTAGACTTGGCTGACTGGAAGAATGACTGGTGCAGAGAGAAAAATAAACATAGTAGGATCTGTTAAAGATGGCATGTGAAAACACTGATAATACAAAGGGAATCTGGCACTAACATTAACCACTACTTTCAAATAAAGTTTGTAGCAGCCATTATATAATCTATTGAATTGACTGAAATGCATTTGCCACATGAAAAAGCAATGTGTTTCCTTGCTGATGATAAATATAACAGGGGGAAATATAGCTTTTATTCATCACAGATCAGATCAGACATCATCGGCTCCCCATCCCGTACCAAAACCATCCAGAATGTCAACTTCACCATTGACAGCAACACTCTATCCCCCCCCCCCTCACATCCGCAACCTCGGAGTCATCTTCGACAGTCAGCTCAAATTCAATCACCACATCAATCACATCACCAGGACTGCCTTTTTCCACCTCAAAAACATTGCCCGTCTCCGCCCATCACTCTCCTCCTCTGCTGCTGAAACCCTGATTCATGCATTCATCACATCACAACTCGACTACTGCAATAGCATCCTCTACGGCAGGCCTATTCCACACACACACAGTGCATAACAATGGACTCCAGTGCACGCTATTACGGGCAATATAGAGCACGCACAAAAGTAGGCTATCAAGGCATTGCTAATTACTGGCTACATATTACACAGATTCTGCATAATAATGCCCTGCATCTTCTATTTCAATCTTTTTAGCAGATTTAGCGTTTTTAGTGAGAAAGAATTCCGAGATACGTTTTTGCGCCATGTCAGTTACTTGTCACTTGTGTATTGCGTCAACAAAACATTTGTTTCCACATCTTTTTTATTTTTCTTCCCTGAAGATAAATAATTTATTATATAGTTTAAAATGATCATTTTAATGATAATGTATAATATAAAATATATCTCAGGCACAATGAAATGAAATAAAAAAATATATATAAAAAAATAAAATTTGCAGACAGAGGAGCTCCGCCTGCCTGCCGCTAGGGGGTGCTGCAGCGCCCTCAGCACCCCCCTTTCCGCGCCCCTGTCCAGAACTCTGCTGCCCGCCTCCTCACCCACACCCGCTCCCGAGACCACATCACTCCCGTCCTCCAGAACCTCCACTGGCTCCCCGTCCGTCAAAGAATCGACTTCAAAGTCCCCCCCCCCTGCTGCACCACCACACCCCTTCCCGCTGCTTCCGCTCATCAGAAGCCAACCTCCTATCCATCCCCATCCGCATTAATCACCGGACCTGGGGGAACAGAGCCTTCTCCGTCGCTGCCCCCTTCCCTCTGGAACTCACTCCCACTGACCTCACCTCAAAAAACCCACCTCTTCAATCTGGCTTTTAATGTGTGATTGCTTTTGTATTGCTTGATTTTAATTTGACTTTAACTATATATATTTATTTGTTGTTCTTTTCACTATATCTGTAAAGCGTCTTTGAGCACCTGTAAAAGCGCTAACAAAATTAATATATTATTATTATTATCACAACATGCATCATTATTGTTAGTAACTCTACTACCATACTTTGACTTGAGTGAACACCCAGCTGTCCAGCCTGGAGGCGTCTGTGGAGGCGAAGTCTTCCTCCACTGCTGGGTATGTGTGGGTATACACATGGTCTCCACTGGCACCTGCAAGAACCACAGCACAAAATACAATGATAGTTAGAATATGTAGACCTAAAATATCAGCACATTTAAGCTGTAATGAGTAATGATACAGTTTTTATCTGTAATATTTAGCTTATTGATTAAGTTGGTGGTTCTGATTGTATTGTTTGTATGTGTGTGTGTGCTTGTCTGTGCTTGTGTACCTTTAGCAAACATTGGCAGAATATCAGGGCTGCCCCAGCACCAGGTGTGTCTGCTCTCATTAAACACAGAGTCAAACTCTACAGGATTCTCCTTCCAGCCTGAAAACACAGGTAAAATAAGGTAATTACACTAGCAGTCAAAAACGGGCACAACAACAGTCACAAATACAGTACGAGTAGATTCATCCTTCATTTTGCATTGGGATACGGTTGTCGGTGTGGTTTGGTGGAAAGAAAATAGGTCCTACATGAAACTACTAACACAGGGGTGTTTTGGGGTGAACTGTGCCTTTAATCTTTTACATAGCCAAATCTGTATCAACATGTACACCTACCTTTAGCAACAGCACTCACGTCCTCATAGAAGCCAGCAATGAGAGCAACGTGACCGGGACGAGACTCAGTGGGCACGCGTGTGTGTGAAACCCCCCAGGTACCTCTCTCCTCCATCACATTCCTGATATTGGGAAACACACATACTTGTACTCATATTCCTTAGTTATAACAGATTTATTAGCAAAGCATGAGAATAAAAGACCCAGAATAACAGTCACACACACAGAGACACTTCAATGCAGATACACACTGCCTTCACTACACCATACTTAAGGTTGGGACATTCCCAACCTTAAGTATGGTGCTCTCGATGAGCCGTCGGGGAGCGGTGTGAAGAGACTGTCCGCTCTGAGGCCATCGGCTACCACCAACACCAGTCTGGAGGCAGGGGGGGCCAGCGGTGTGGCCTGGGGGGTCATGCCGTGGACCAGGGGAGAGGTGAAGTAGATGTCAAAGATAGAGACGAAGAAGATCACGTGGACTATCAGTCCCACCAGGAGGAAGGTGATCATCTTCATTTTGAGGGTGAACACTGAGCTGGGTCTGCAGGGAAACAGGGGGCATGGAGACGGATTAGGTAAGGTCTGATGTGTGTTCAGGTGAAATGGGAAGCAAGTATAAAGAAAGTATATAAATGACTGAGGAAAACATGGATACATATTTCGTTTTACAGTATAGGATAAAGAAGTTAGTTCAAATACGAAGGGAATACTTTATAAGGTTCAGCTTTGTATAACTAAACCATAGTATGTAAGATTTAAAGACTGCTTAAGATCAGGGGTAATCCTTCTGTCACCATATGCCATTAGATAATATGCAAAAAGTGTAATGGTTAGTTTTGTACATCTCAATGAGTTACCCATCGGGCCAGCATTCATACATCTTTAGACCATGCACAAAGTATTACCTGTATGTGACTTCAGTGGGATCTGCCAATAGAAACCGGGGACTCTGTCTCGTTGACGAATGAATGGAAGAGCAGAACTATCTAAAATACTATCACCCGTTCAAATAATTTATCATCGTTTTTATCCTCGTAGTTAACTTATTATTATATATCCAGATAACACGACCGATAGAGGTTTTGATTTACAGAACAAGATCAGCGTAATCTTTAAATGCGTCCTTTTACAAAACCGACTGTCCCTCTTTATAAGAAGCTTAGTACAAGAAAACATGAGCATCCACTTCCTTGTTGTGACTCTGACGTCTTACGTTGACGTGTGTACTTTGCAGCTGAATTGTGGGTATTGTAGTTAATGCATTTATTTAATAGCGAGCGAACTTTTCAATTGTTTAAATGTCAAATAAATGCTTTGACTTCTTATTCTCTAAATATTTGTGTTACAGTGTAGTTTCAAAGGAAAGCGTTATTTTGACAGCGTGTGGTTCTTTGACAACACATTAGCTAGCACAGGTTATCAGCTGTGAAATGTGCCCTGCCCAGTTTTCCTTTCTGTCTCCCCATTATCCAATCATCTCCTATAGTCCCATGAAAGAGGCGGGCTTTGGGACGACGTCTCTCAAAATTGACCAATCACAGCTTTGCATTTTCCCCCTTTTCAACCAACCTACCAAACCAGAGCTAGCATCCATTCAGGAAGAGGTCCAGTTAGCCAGGCTAGCTAAGAATCTTTATAGTACAAAAATGGCGTCGGTCAACCCGTTTAATCTCAGTGACTCTGAGGAAGAGGCTGAACGGCGCCCCAATGAGACAGTTGACACAGAGAGAAGCCCGAGTGACGGGGCTCCAGGGCCTCCGCACGGTAACCCTTTCTCTCCGTCCGCAGACACCGAGCCTCCGATGCTGTCTAGCAACCGGACCAGCCCCGGCGGTGAGGGCTCGGTGTCGGTAGCGGTTACCTCCGCTATGGCTGCCGAGACACGGATATCTGTGGACGGTATCGCTGCACAGCTACTGCGGGACCAGTACATCCTCACGGCCCTGGAGTTTCACACTGAACTGCTGGAGACTGGCAGAGAGCTCCCGAGGTTGAGGGATTATTTCTCTAACCCCGGCAACTTCGAGCGACAAAGCGGCACTCCGCCTTCCAAGGACCAGGTACTCGGACCTGGAGGACCCCTAAGTAAGTACCTAGGGAAAGTCACGTAGCTACAATGTAAGGTTAGCACACTGTCTAGCTAATGATTGCTTAAACCACAGGATTTGGAAGTCAATCGATCTTCTGCTAACGTTATCCGGTTTATGCACCTGTCCTCCAGGTCCAGGGCCCTTAGCCAACAAGATCGTTTCAAAGGGTCAGCTGTGTTGGCTGGCATACTGACTGCATCATCACATTAATGTGATTAATCTGAACCACACTGTCAGGATGGATCAGTGATACTTTGACAGACCTATGATAAACATCCTAATGTAATAAGCACAGTAGCTCTTAGGCCAGAGAGAGGTCAGCATCAGCCACATGAATGGAAAAAGAGAGACAGGAGGAGAGGAGAAGGCTTGCACAGGTCACTTTTGCAATATTGTATGGCACTCTCGTGCTGATAAAGCACATTTGAATTTGAAAAGAAGCCTGCAGTCAGTAGGAAATAGGAATGTAATGTCTCGCAAAAGAGGATAAAGCAGGATATGTTACATTCTACATTTGTTTTGAACCTAAATCCTAAAGACATTATCTTTTAGGGATATGTGTTGCTTTGTTGAGCTTGTTTCTCCTAGGCCAGGGACATGCATATTACTTAAGTATATTCTTCAAAGGTGTGTATCTGTAGTTCATCCAGCCTTCTGTACGGGAATAACCTGCTGTATTTTATGGTCACTGGAAAGTCTGGACCAGTAGTCAAACATGGCATGCAAATTGTAACCATGGTGACAGCCCAAGCCACAAATAAATAAAGCCTGCTTTAGAGCAGCAGGAGTAGTATTACCATAAACTTTAACCCAACGGTGACAAGGCACAGGAGCATGGCATTGAAGGGAAGGTGACTGACAACCCCTTTGTTAGTTAAGCCATTTTACTGAGGTGAGTGGAGCAAATGTACAGTAAACATAAACCTATAAGACACAACAAATACAAACAAAAATACACCATGAAGGTATCATTATAACAGTTAAGCTTCTCAATGCTTTTTAAGGTGTATGGACTGTTAGGGGAGGATCGTATGTGACTTGAAAGTGATATCGGATTATAAAATGCCCTTGTCTGCACATTATTTTAATTGGATCCTCTTTAATTACTCTACGGTTTTAATGGAAACCACTCAGCTTGGTATTCTTCATTGCAGTGATTGTATCTGTCGTGTCAAAGTATATTCAACTTAGATCCAGGAGTAAGAGGATAGGAACTATGTCAGTCACCCCTTTTATTAGATGTGCTCGGTCATTTTAGTAATTATTAAGAGAATGTCCTCCTCATCAATCATAGGATCAGTGTGTTGGTTTCCAAATGGGTCACAGTATTAACAGCGGTGCCACGAAAGTGGAATGTTTACTTCCTTTGTTGAAGATGAGCAACAAGACCAGATTATGGAATTGTCATTGTATAAACATTTGGCAGGTGTCCAGCTGAGGGATCCACAGCTTATAAATAAATGCTGAAGGAAGTGTTATTTTTCTCCTCTTTTAGATGCAGTAGCAATTGACAATAACCCGATGTCTCAGGAGGCTTTTGCAACCGGCCTGAGGTTAGATGGCAGACAGTCAGATTCACTGCAACCCATGCCCCACCCCGTAGAAGTGTGTGTGTGTGTGGTGTGTGTGTGTGTGTGTGTGGTGTGTGTGTGTGTGTGTGTGTGTGTGTGGTGTGTGTGTGTGTGTGGTGTGGGTGTGTGTGTGTGTGTGTGTGTGTGTGTGTGTGTGTGTGTGTGTGTGTGTGTGTGTGTGTGTGTGTGTGTGTGTGTGTGTGTGTGGTGTGTGTGTGTGTGTGTGTGTGTGTGTGTGTGTGTGTGTGTGTGTGTGTGGTGTGTGTGTGTGTGTGTGTGTGTGTGTGTGTGTGTGTGTGTGTGTGTGTGTGTGTGTGTGTGTGTGTGTGTGTGTGTGTGTGTGTGTGTGTGGTGTGTGTGGTGTGTGTGTGTGTGTGTGTGTGTGTGTGTGTGTGTGTGTGTGTGTGTGGTGTTGCAAAGGTCTGCTGGTTGCATTATCATAGGAGCCCCCAAAGGGTTTGGAATACGGAAACAGAATAAATGTTTTATGATGATGTCTTTGAAAAGCAGGACAGGGCTCTACAGCACCCCGTTGTGAAACTGGAAGGAAGGTCACAAAGATGATCTTTTCCTGGGAAGTCAAATCTACCCTATTGAAAAAAATAAAGCATCTGATAGAAGTCATTGAGGGAGAAAGAGATTAACTCAAGGCAATGCCCCCTTTCATTCTAGCAGCATCTGATAGCCAAGACATCATGTGATAACTAGAGGGAATTTATTGTCCTGTGTTTGAGGGGCGTTGTTGTTGAGGAGGAAGAGATACTGACTGGAGTCTGTTGTTGTTCTGCAGCCAATTTCCAATCACATTTTTCAAACGGTTGTAACACAATCAGTACCTTGCTTTTGAATGAGTGAATATTTTAATTTTCTATTTATGCTATTTGAATGTATGCTTAATTTAATAGTGACAAAGACAGACAGCAATCAAATAGGGAGAGAGCAAATCACACTCTGTGATTCTTAAGGATTGTGCTCACTTTTAAAGCCCTACAAAAGAGACACCCTTTCAGAAGGTTATGAAAGGATGCATGGGGTTTTTATATTATTCAATTGAGTGTGTAACTCATTGAGACATGGCGTGGCATGATAACCACACAGTGAGGGGTCCAGCTAGTGAAGGGCATGATACATCATCAGCTGAGTGTGTTCCGTGGTATTGCACAAAAGAAAGGTTAGAATAAGAACATGTTGAAATCAAATACACATGCACTCTAGCTAGGAACCCACTACAAGCTTATCTAAAAATCTCACTTAAAAATAACAATGCTAAACAAAATAACATGCATATCTTTTGAGCATGACTGTGTTACAAGCATCTGCAGCTGTTGCTCTGAAGCACATGACACAGCAAGGCATCTCTCAGCACCTCGCTAATTTGCAGCAAAGGAGCATGAATGATTCTCTCTCTTCACCCCTCAATGACTATTCGGGTAGTTATTTGCTCATATGATGCGAGGAGCTTTTTAAATTTGCCATGCATGCAAGGTTGACGGTAAACAGCCACATGTAAGAAGCTGGTGAGGTTTGCCACATACTGTAAGGCTGTATAATCTCAGGACATGAATATGAAAGTTAATTTGTAGTTGCAGGCACCATCTGCTACTTCAAAAAGAAGCTTCAAATGATAGATTTTATGCTAGGGTATTAAGTAACTTGGGCTGCAACAAACCCTCAAATTGCTTATTGATTAATCTGCCATTTGGTCTATGAAATGTCAGGAAATAGTGAAAAATGTCCATCCCAGTTACTTCTCACTAATAGTAGCACTAGCACAGCCTATTAGGTGGCTCAACCTGACGTGCACTCTCTCTTTCTCTCATGTTTTCTCACTTTTTAATGTTCCTCCATCATTTACTCCGACAGTGGCAGGCCGTTGGTTGGTTCTGTGTTAGAAGGCACTTAATGAGTGTTGGCCAGGCTCCATGTCGGGCTGGACTGGCACCGACTGGCTGCAGCTCTCTGCCTTTCATTAACTGTGTGTGTATGAATGCATGTGTGTCTGCAAATTAATGCATGCATGTGTAAGTGTGCATATGCTTAGCAAGGGAGCAAATCCCCTTTGGGCTACTATTATTTGGAACCTTAGTTTTTTTTCAATTTGTGAATCTCCATAGCATATTAACATATTGCCTATTAGCAGAACATATTTTGTGAGGCAGACGTTCACACAGGTTTATGTGCCTGCCTGTGTAATCCTTTATAGTTTGTTGTTTCATCCTATGTAGGCTATATTTTCTAAAAATGTCACACTCTTGCCAAAAGATCCTTCCCAGGAAAAGAGCTTGTTGGCTGCCTCCTCCTGACCATCCATCTTCTCTCGTTTCCTTGTCTGTGTTTGTATCAGCTCTTTGTAAATGTTCCACTTTGTACTTAGACCAAACTATCGCTCCTCTCTTTGTCTCCAATGTATCTGCTTTGTTGTTATACTTGCCAAAGCAGAAAAAACATCCTTCATCTTGTTTGCTTCCTTGCCTCCAAGAAGCTCTTGTTGTCCTTCCAGTTGTTTTTGTACGATTAGGATTTTCAATATCAGAGATACAAAGAGGCTTCCTTCCCTCAGCGAACAAATAATGGCTCATTTGTAGCGTGTGATTGAATGTGAGATAATGTACTCCAGAGCATAGAGGGAGACTGTGTGTCAATGTGTGTGTTTGTGTGTGTGTGTGGCACAATCTGCCGGTCAGGAGTGCAGTGAAGAGGTGACCGTCTGAAGTGTCAGATCTATCACAGTCCAGACAATACACGCCACAGGCGCACAACAGAAAGGTCACCCAGCAAGAAATACTTGTGTTTCTTACCAAATCAGGCACACACACAAAAGGCTGCTGCTGCTGTGGAACTACAGGTTTTCCCACCTCATGCATACAAGCACAATATTATCCATTGATTCACCCAATAGATTTCCTACACTCACAGTGAACATCCATCACACTTAACAGGGTTATCCTAATGTAAGCATGACATTACAGTGACATACACACACACACACACACACACTCACTGTCACACACAGCCAATTCAGAAACACTCTCACTATACAGTCACAGGACTCAGAGTGTGTGTGCTTTGTGAAGCTGCATGGTCATACTTAGCATTTGACATACGAAAGCACAGAAGCTTCTATTTTATATGCTTTTCTCCCCAAATGTAAGGTTTTTAACATGTATTGGCTATTCAAACATTTCCTGTCAAACAATAAAGTGCGGTACCTATTGTCAAGCCTAGAAAATCATTAAGGGTGTCGGCTAATTTAGAAAGACCTACTGGTTCATTTTAAAATGTATTTGGTCTTTAATGTGACTTAAAAGCTGAAGGTTTCAGATATCAGTGTGTGTTTTACCTCAAGGCTAAATGCCAAATCAAAACATTCACTTCTGAACCAACAATGATTTAATTCTCTTCCTCATTTATTACACAGTCACTTCCCTGTAGCGTTGTAAAAGAAAGCAAGCCTTGGTTTTTAAATTAGTCTACATTTGGCTTGACCTTCCACTGTATCTTGATATCGGAGAACAAACAGTCCAATCTTGCACTTGTTTGGAGCTGGAGGAAAGCTAACACCATTGGCTGAGCTACCAGGCCAGCCTACTTCAGTGAAACAAGAGCACAGGTATGCTTATGTATCGGCTTCATCTGTTCTTTGAGTGAACAATACTTTTGGCTGCCCTACTCTGAGATGTAAGGTTGTTGGTTGGAGTTGTTACTTTGGAAAAAGGCATTTCTGTTAAGTCGAGTTCTCGGCAAAGTTAACATTTTTTGATTGATTTGATTTCCCAAATGTGCAGTGAGTCATGTTCCTTGGCTAAAGTGTAACCTTCCCACATAAAGTTCTCTGCTTTTAGCTGAATTTAATAGAGTTTCCATCTGTTTTGCTGAAGACTGGCCTTGTGGTTAGTAATCATCCTTAAACTGAAGCCCAGTGTCAACAGGATTCCCCCGGTTAAGAGTCCTTAGGAAAATACTGAGTCCCTTCCACAGTGGGGCTACTGTTCCATAAATCAACATTTCTCAAGGATCAGTGGTGCATTTCTTGTCACATGTCTAAGCCTTGTGACAGTGGACTCATCGATGTGTGGATCCTCGTCTCACTGTTGTCTCTGTGTCTCTGTTCAGATCGAGCCGGCAGCATCAGCACCTTGGACTCTTTGGACTTTGCCCGTTACTCAGACGATGGCAACCGAGACTCTGACGAGCGGGTAGTAGGTAAGATGAACCGTACTGCCACGACGGGAAATAACACGTCAGGAGAATAGGCAATGACAGAATGGGAGGGTGGCACAGAAACAAAGAGAATAAAACCTGACGGCTACACCAAAGATTGAATCATAGTAGTGTCAGTGTTAGCCAAGCCCCCACACATTCAATTAAAAATAAGTATTCGCTTTTATTGGTCTGTGGTACTGCTAAAGAGACATTTAATTAGGGATTACCAAAAAGAACAGTTTTTTTATATCAGAATCCACACAAAACACATGTTTACCCCATCATACTGTTCTGTTGCCATAGAGTTTTTAATCTAAACAGGCCGAACTAAATACGTTTACAGACTAGGCCTTAATAATTGGCAACTCTTCCAACATGCGGTATGTTTCCTTTTTTCTTGGTTGAGGTGTTCGAGCCTCCTCCCATCACACTGTTGAGTCAGTCTGTTGTATTTTTAGAGCAGGACCTGTCTCAGCATTGTTTACAATTGCACCCCCCCTTCCCTTTTTATTAGCTAGTGTTTGCAAAATACATGCCTCATGCATTTAAGAGCAGCTGCTCACATTTGGTTGCGATCAGTACCGATTGTGTTCTGTTACTTTAATCGGCCTACTGTTTCCATCTTTCTATTGTGTAAGAGCCAACATGAAAACATCACTTTTTAGCCGTCCATAGTACAGTGGTTAACATGATCTGTTAGCAGCTTTTCTGTCGTCATCCTCTCATTCGGTCGGTAAGTGTTAGTCAATCAATCCTGAAAAGCCCCAACCCATAACTGCAGTATGGATTTGTTTAACAAGTGTGGGATATTTTAGATTTATTGTATGAAAATGATGTTGTTTTTCCCTCTGTACTTTACATGACTGATATTCATGATACTAAATAATTATATTTTGAATTGTATATCTATAATAAGATTCACCTGTAGCGCTCGGACGCTAAAAATCTGTTGTTGGAAAAACTCAACCACGATGTTTATTTCCAGAAGTGATGATTCAGTTACCTATCATCTTTCTTTAAAAAGATATCACGAACAATATGTCGTTTTAATTATTGGGCGATCTGTTCTTTTTTAAGTGAAGTAGATGAAAATACAAGGAGCTTGCTTTTGGTTTGGGGCTTTTGTCAAACATGAAAACATACTGCACATTATTACATAGTAAGGGACACATTTAAAACCATGCAGCAGAGATTTTGGTTCCATCCTCCCAACTACAAATGATTTAAAAATGACTATTATTCACCGATTTGGCACCTTCCTTCACCTCGTCACCCACCCCCACTATCATCCCCCCCTTAAAGATGCCTGCCCCCAGCTGTCTGACTGGGTTTTCTGGCTTCCTCCTGACGTTGATCAAACCCCAGTGAACAATACTGGACAAGTCACTCCATCCAGACTAGCCTTTTTTATTTTTATTTTTCTCCCCGTTCTTAGTTTTCCATTTTGTTGCGCTTGCATCCTGTGCACTCTTGATCTGCTAAGATAGGAGTCAGAGTTGGTGGATTTGGTCAGAACAAATGTGTTATTTTTTGCACACAAATAAGTGTTCTTAAAGTTATAAAAACAGAACATTGAGAATGACCTTTCAGGAAATGACAGTTGTTTTTAAATAACAGTTGAATCTGCCTTTTGCACGCTCATACTGGTACGTTATGAAAACCTGTTTACCCACAATCCTCAGCATTAGATGGCAGATTTTGAGGCATCATCAGGATCAAATGGCAGATTTTCAGTGCACAGCTATGCAACAGAGTTTTCCTGCTCCATCGCTTCTTACTTTTTTTGCGTGTGTTTTTTTTCTAACTTGTCTAAGAATCTTGTGTGTTCTTTTTATTTATTCAGTATAAGTCTTTCAAATTTCAACTTCAAATCAGCAATTCTGTTTTAAGACATTAGAAGCAACATGCTATTGTCCAAAACATTAACTTACCACGTTCTAAATTACATTTTGATCCTAGACTTGTCTACAAACCAAATTATTTAAATACTTGTTACTAAGGCATTTGCCTGTAAAAAAGAAATCCTTTGTCAGACAGCTAATAGATTATCAAGGCTACATTTTTAGTAGCTTAAAAATATGTTTCCACCTCAGCTACATTTGAAGTAATTTCCGTCAGTGCTGTTGATGGGGGAAAAAGGAGGGCAGGAAATCGGCATTACACACTCTTGTCATCCGGCCGGCTTTACCATGATCCTCTGCTGCATGCGTTTCCTTAGACTCATCATTTGCATGTGTCCCTTTTTCATTGTTATATTTTATGACTCTTACAATCTTGCGTGCGGTTGTTTTGTTTTTCATGCCCATCTTTGTTTTATTTGTTTGTTCCCTGTCTTTGGTTGGATGCATTTCCTGTGTGTGTGTGTTGTCACTTCCTGTCCAGTGCTGGAGTTTGAGCTACGGAAAGCAAAGGAGACCATTCATGCTCTGCGCGCCAACTTGACTCAGGCAGCAGGTGTGGCGTACTTTTAACTTCTTCTCCACCTGAACCCTCTTATGTTACAGTTTTCTCTCTTTTTTTGAATCTAAGAGATTTTCCTCTTGATGAATAACACTCAGCATCCTTTCAAACTCATCTAAAAAATCTTCTCAATTTCTCAGAAAGCGAAGTGCCCTCTCAGGAGAGAAAAAACTACAAGTCGAGCGCTGAAATTCAGGTGGGAAATCTTCAAGTGTTGAGAATGAGTTAACGAATCAAGGGAATGAAACTGTTCCTTTAAACCCCTGTGATGACATTACTGCAGGCTTTAAGTGAATCATTTCACAGCTTCTCTTCTCCCTCTATCTCAGGAGTCTATACGTCCGCTGGAGAAAAGAGCCTTAAACTTCCTTGTGAATGAATATTTATTAAAAAGTGAATACAAGCTCTCGGCCATCACCTTCTCTGATGAAAATGATGATCAGGTAAAGATTATTACTGCTGTTTTATAGACAGAATGAGACATGTCTTAATAGAGTTAACCCTTTATTCATTCAGTTATATCTGTCTGCTTCTTGAATTGAAAGTAATTGAACTGTGAGCACGTGGGCATTTCTTTAAGCATGGTGTCTTCCGCCTACTTCCGCCACAAATTAATTTTGTTTATTTGTTTATTTCCAGGACTTTGAGTTGTGGGATGACGTTGGCCTCAACATCCCAAAACCCCCGGACCTCTTACAGCTCTACAGGAACTGTGGGACCCCCCTCGCCTCTCCTCGGGACACGGCAGATGTGTCAGTAGGGGTGGAGCTTACCGATCTTCCAGGAAACTGCATCGATCCCCCAAAGAAGCCCGACCTCTCACATCAGGTTTGTGTGTTAATGTGTATGTAAATATAATGGGTGGTGTTCATCAGAAAAGTATTGCTGATACAAAGTAGAGAAAGATATTTCATCATCTCAGCCACAAACACCTTACTTTATTTATTTGCATGATTTAAGTTAGTATACTTGACACTGTGTTTCGTGACAGTGGCTGTTTTCTTTTATAAGTATGGAGATATCATGAAAAACTATGACTTGGTGGATTGCCTACTCTTAAGCAAAGGTTATAACGTTTCAGTATATCCTTTGTGTCCCTCTATAGCAACAGACAGAAGTGGTCCAGGAGTTGGAATACCAGATAAGTCTCCTCAACACTGAGAAGCAGAGCCTAGCTGAGCAGATCAAGAAGCTGCAGAGGTGAGGGCTTGTTTGTGCTGCTTGTGAATGATCCAGCCCGCTACAGTTAGTATGCTCTGATGCATAGAACAAGAACATTTACCACTACAGGAAGAATTATAAGCATTCTAGAAATCTAGAAATGTGTTGTTTCAGTCCACATTAAATCCATAACTGCAACTTAAACAGGTCATGGGGAAAAACCAGTATGGAATCTTTTTCCCAACGCTGCATTCATTACAGAAGAAATCTTGATGGAAGACATTTTTCTTCCATGCTCAATTATGATTCAGACAAATTAGCTTCACAATGAAAAACTTTGAGACAATTTACTGTTCTACTTTTGGATGGATCTGATTTATTTTCTTACCTTTTACAGTGAGATTCAAACACTGAAGAGGACAGTCTCCTACTCACCTCCGTCCTCTCTGGACCTGGGCTCCCAGAAAACATCCAACCCCTTCTCAACAGACCCTCTCTCTGTGGTAAGTGTGCAATTTGAATGTGTAATGTACAGACGTCCGGTGTCCTGCAATTACAAATATTGAAATTGAACTATGAACAGCATTTACATTTTAATACAATTCACTATTTTGTCATATTCAGTAACTATTCCTTCAAGGCTGGTGAGCTATCTGTTCTTCTTGTGCGCTGAATAAAATCTTAGACCTCTACTGAATGTAATTGACCTATAACTGTATCTCATTTCACCCTCAGCCTCCTACAGATAACGGCCAGTATCTGGACATCCGAGGGGATTCAGTGCCTGAAACTAAACAGGACCCCCCATCTGCTCAGATCATTTCACAGCCCCCCACACAGTCCCACAGCAAGCTAAAGAGTCGACCCCCCGTCAAGTTTGACCAGCCTAACAGGTTAGTCCTGAAAAACCTGTTCCACCCATAAAGATTGATATTGATAAGCAATACATTCCTAAGACATTTCCTATGTTTTATTTATCTTTCTTGGTCCACAAACGTAATCCTTAGATATTTTCCTGTGAGGATTCTAAAACACAGAAAAGGATATTTAATATACTCAGTAGTACCTGTTACAGACACACAGCTCTTCTCTGTGTAGTTATGGAGTGTAACCACTAGATGGCGGTATTGATCAGCCTTTGATAAACAACTTGTGTGCCCTTTTGACTACAAATGGAATTTACTCAATTTATTCCAGTCCATTCATGTTTCCACAAATCCTTCCCAAATCTAATAAATGTGTTTTTTAATATTGAAATACTGAGAAGAATGTAAATTAAAGTTGAATTTAGGGCTTTGTAAGGGGTTTCATTTTTTAAATGAAAGGCCAAATGCAGGATCTTTGATTACAAACACTGATTTTAAATTGAGATATTATTAAGATGTTAAGGGTTAATGTCCCCAGAGCACATAGCAGGTCTTAATTTAAATTAAACTTTTGACTTGAGCTCATGTATAAACATTTCATTCTGCTGTCACACACATGCTGTAGTATATTTAGTAATCCCACATTTTGTGAATATGATCAATGGGATACTGTGTTTCCCGTTTATTCTTAACTCTAAATGTCCCTTTTATCAGATTTATGTACAGTTCCAAAATATGTGTGGCAAATACAGTTAGCCACAATGTGCTATTGTTACTCATGTATTGTCTTCTAGCCAAACTCCATCTATCTATAGATAAAACATTTTTATTGCACTGAATTTTACAGCGGGGACATGGGAGAGCGGCTGCCCTAAGCTCTCTGACAGGAAGTCCCAGTCCAATCCTAAATCATTCAGTGGTCAAGGCAACCGACAGAGTTTTTGTGGCGACACATATTAAGTGGTGTGTGTGGTGACTGTTTGCTGGTCTCTCGTTGTTTGTGGTGTCGCAGGAAGTTGTCCCCGGCCTTCCAGCAAGCCCTGCTCTCCTTCTGCAGAATGTGCACCGACAGTCGCCTGGGAGCAGAGGTTAGCACATATTTTTACTCACAAACTGTACATTATATTAAAGGTCCCCTATTATACTGTTTCTCTCAATATATCACAGGTCTCAGATATATACAAAACATGTCTCTGGAGTGTTTGTCTGAAACACCAAACAGATCATTGCAGCATTACCCATAATCCCCTCTGTTTCAGCCCTGTTTCCAAAGTGCTGATTCTCTGTCTGTTACTTTAGATGAAAATAAGGAGCCCCTCCCCACGCCCCTCTGAGAGATATTTGGTTAAAAAGAACACAATGGTGCTCTAGGAGGAGATTCAGGTGATAAGGTGTGGGGGGGGGTTACCTTGGTTGCTGATTGGCTAATGGTTACACAAGCCAAAAAATCGTTATGACATCATAAAGTGACCAAAATCTGATCAGCTCATTTTCAGACAGGTTTTTATATAAATGGATCAGGACAAAAAGAGAGAGAATCTTTGTTCCTGAAACTTTCAGAGTCTCTTTCCACAGAGGGGACACATGTTGATGAAGAAGAGACATGAAGAAGAGGGGACACATGTTGATGTAGAAGAGACATGAAGAAGAGGGGACACATGTTGATGTAGAAGAGACATGAAGAAGAGGGGACACATGTTGATGTAGAAGAGACATGAAGAAGAGGGGACACATGTTGATGTAGAAGAGACATGAAGAAGAGGGGACACATGTTGATGTAGAAGAGACATGAAGAAGAGGGGACACATGTTGATGTAGAAGAGACATGAAGAAGAGGGGACACATGTTGATGTAGAAGAGACATGAAGAAGAGGGGACACATGTTGATGTAGAAGAGACATGAAGAAGAGGGGACACATGTTGATGTAGAAGAGACATGAAGAAGAGGGGACACATGTTGATGTAGAAGAGACATGAAGAAGAGGGGACACATGTTGATGTAGAAGAGACATGAAGAAGAGGGGACACATGTTGATGTAGAAGAGACATGAAGAAGAGGGGACACATGTTGATGTAGAAGAGACATGAAGAAGAGGGGACACATGTTGATGTAGAAGAGACATGAAGAAGAGGGGACACATGTTGATGTAGAAGAGACATGAAGAAGAGGGGACACATGTTGATGTAGAAGAGACATGAAGAAGAGGGGACACATGTTGATGTAGAAGAGACATGAAGAAGAGGGGACACATGTTGATGTATAAAAGACATGAAAAAGTGGATTTTGCATAATAGGGGACCTTTAACATACTGTATAAATACAGTGCATAACGCCCCTCTCATTTCCAGGTGTCCCGTATAGCCGACAGCGAGGAGAGCGTGATGTTAATGCTCGGCCGCTGCCTCCCTCACATCGTCCCCAACGTCCTCCTCGCTAAACGAGAGGTAACCACACTTCTGCTGCTCCTCTTCTCCTCCTTCCAGCACCCCTTTCATTATTGTCATCATCACATCGTCTGCTCGCAGGATAATAGATACACACAGAGCAGCAGGGATGAGCATCTAGGGGAACACAGTCATCTACAGCTTGCAAATCTTCCACGTAGATGGGAAGCGATCCAAATCTTGACAACCTTTGCTGAAGGGGATAGACATAATTAATGAGGTTTTTTTTCTCTTGGCAATTTACCTATTTTCCAACCTGCTATTTTTTTAATATGGTTTCCTTAGAAAAAGCACCACCCTTTTCTTGGCTTGTGCCACAACGCTACCTGTAAAGGCTTGCAGGGATCTAATTGGTGTGATTGCTTAATATAAACGTACTAATGTCTTAAACCCTAGCACCTTTCCCCTTGTTTACCCCCATATCTAACTGTGTCTTCTGCCTGTAAGCTGTATATATATATATAAAGAGATAATCGAGACATTTGCAAATACCGGGCTGACTTGTGTCTATCTATTGATTTCACCGTCTTCTATGATGGCGTTTGTTTTCACCAGTGTCAACATCATTTCTCGCTCCTGTGCTGTTTTTGTCCCCCACTCACGTATGTTGCCTTCACTGGTTTTTATTTTGACTCTTCTCTTTTCGTCTCACTCATTCTCTCACTCTCATGCATGCCTCTCTTCTAGAGAATGGTTGCACATCTTTGCCAGGTGAGTCTTTCACGCACTCATCTGCATGGTTATCACATGACCTGTGGACCTTTTAATATGTAACTAACGCCCAGCTCCTGTTGGCTACAACTGCTGCCACTTTAGGGTCTAACTTGACAGAAGTATTACTTTTTTAATAATTTGTAGTAGCTGTGTAAACGACAGTATTCGTGCTATCTTTTAATGTCATAAACGGGAATATCAGAAGTTATTTATGGCCGATATATGATTAAATATGCAAATATGGCTTAAGGTATGCAGTTTTAGCCTTTGCAGAAGGTGGGTCATGAACTGTTTGTTTCTCAAACCCAGCGTGTGTTTACTCTGTCCTTTCCTGATTGGATCCCTGTGTGATTTATTTGCTGAACGTCTAAGTGGCTTGTTAGATTCTGGAGTGATGTGTAATTAATCTTATAACATCTTCTAGCAGCCAAACAAACTTAATTTGTGATGTTTATGGCTGAATGAAAAGGTGTTTTTTCTTTTCTTAATTCCATATGAGTTGTGACGTAAGTCCAAGTAACTTAATGTAAGCTTTTATTTACTTCCTAACTGTTGGGGAACATGTTTGCTTTTATTTTCACAATTTGAATATGAATTGCTTCTGAGGAGAGAAGGGAAGGAGATTTGAAAACAGATAAGCAATTAAAAAGTTATAATTAAGACGACTGTCTTCATAACTGCTTGCATGCAAAGTTCTTGTCTGTGTGTGTATTCATGTATACTTGTGTGTTAAAGAACAACATGGCGTGTTTTTAAAGAGGTAAGTCTTGTTGGAGTAGTTCTCAGTTAGGCTGCTTTGCATACCACCATTCATTTGTATGTTGTTGTACTCAACCTGACAGTTATGGAGAACCTAATCTCTTTGCAAAATCAAGATTAACTAGAAGAGTTGAACAGATCTTTGCCAGGTGGGTCTCCCTCCCCTAAAACAAATAATCTCACTCAATTGTCCCTCAAGGCCCCTTTGCAGTCAAGATAGTAGCAAAGATAAGACCAATTCATATAATTGTTCAACTTGTTTGTGCCTAACGTAACATATCGGGTATGTTATTAATCTGCCGGTGCTCCCGGTTAATGAGACAAAACTGTAGCTGCTGACACGCAACCGAACACAGTTTATTTTGCCTAGCAACAAAAACAAACTGGTGAGAGGATGACAAAGATTAATACACAACATTTTGGCCTCTGGCTCTGAGTGGTGTGGACTTTGTACTATATCCGTTAGATTCACCAACCATGACATTGCACACACACACACACACAGCTGCTCACACTTGCAACTTGAAGCTTTCTTACCACCACACACCTAGAGACACACCTTTGTCTGAATACGACACCCACTTAAGAACAAAAGGTGTTTGACTTGAAACGTTGGAATGATGCAAAGAAACTCTGCCTGCCACCTGGCTGTAATATCAGTCACTGTAAATCATTACACATTAAGTTTCTTTAATAACTGTGCTGTATTTTAATGCAATGTCCTTGTATTTTCTATTTCCTTTAGTGTAAAAGACTTATCTTTAGGTCATTTGCTACAGCACTATTTTCTTAATCCTTTTTTTAATAAACCTTTTATAAGCAGTGCCATAGGGAAGTGAGTAAATCTATGCTGCAACAATTAACTTCCTTTTTCTACCGGCCACATTAACTGTGATCTTTAACGAACTTCTGGCTAGACAAAGACACAGTGGCAGTTTTATCAGGGCTGTTACAAGACAAAAGATTAGAAGTTAAGTTAAATGACAGTGTTTGCAGTATGCCCTTTTTTTTTAATCTGATAAGCCAGTAGAAGGTCAGTATGGATTGAACACAAAAGTGAAGCGATCAAAAGCTTGGCGAGAATAAAATATATCCTTATATAATATCATAATACATAAGATATTGTAAGGTATAATAATACTGTCATGTAAGAACATCCACTTCAAGTGAATATCAGCCCTTTTTGGGGGGGATTCTCCTACTGATGTTAATCTCAGCAACCTACGCACTTCATTTGATTATGTGAATGTTTGCTTTATAAAGTAAGGGTTTGATAAGAGTTATTAAAGTGGAATGTACTACATTTGGATGCAGGTGCTTGCACATAGTGGTTTCTGGACATGAAACAGTAAAGTTGCTTTGCTCTCTGAAGTAATGCATCATACCCTCTTGGCCTCTGGGTCCTGGCGTCTCGCTGTCCACTCTACCTGCCCACAATATTTATCCAGGACCGGTCAGGAGTTGAACTCCTGAAGGACTCTTCACATCAGAAACACAGGAGTTCACACAGGAATAGAACAGGGCCAGTGTGTCTTTTTCAGATGAGCACTGAATTCCTCTATTTGTTTTATCAGGACAGAGCTGTTGGTATTTCCAAAGACAGGGCAGAATATTATTGAACGTGACAGTTACATTTCCCTGAATAGAGTTAATTTAAAGGTTGTTTCTTCTATTTGACGTTTGAACTGATTTTCAACCCCATTGATGTGTTCATGTCAACTCTTTAAATTACTCTCAGATACATAAATTCCACATTTTAACTTTTAAAAAGATGGCCAACATGGCACTGACTTCAGAGTTCAGTGTGGATGGAGTGACTCATCGCAGCCTATCTTTACCCAAGTGTCTGTCAGGTCCGTGTGTCCGTCCAGCGTTGGGGTTTTGCTCGTTCTTCCAGCGCTTGGCAGGAAAGTATGATATCTTCGTAGAAAAAAAACAGAGTTTGTTTGAAAAAACATATTTTTAACTCTGTGTGCACTCTCTAATTTGGGTGTGTGTAGCGGGAATTTAGAGCTGACCACAATTTGGCCATGGAGGCCCGGTTTCAAGGGCAGCTGAGCTCTGACTGGAAGGTCCGTAAACTCTGTCTGAACTCTGGGAGAGAGTTGTGTCGCTGAGAAGCCAGCTCAAAACGTGTGTGTCTGAATGCAGCTGTGTCTGGGTGTGTGCATGATCCTATAGTACGTGGCTTTGATTGTAACTGTGTGACTCCAAAGCCTAAAGGTATAACACCAACAAGGTATTGAAGGTAAGCATGGTTTCCCTGCAGTTGATTCCAAAGGTGACCCCCTGTGGTTCCTTCTCCTTGTTGCCTCTCCTTGTTGCCTCTCCCCTTTTCCCCTCATAGTTTTCCAGGCCTGCTTGACTGCCACAAACAATCCTTTCCCTGTGCGTTTTCAACTTCACTCCAACCTCCTTTTTGCAAAGTCATCTCAACTAATGCCACATCTCTCTTTTTCCCTTTCATTTCTTTTCTTCAGGAGTTGATCCCCCTCATCTTGTGTACCGCCTGCCTTCACCCAGAGCCTAAAGAGAGAGACCAGCTCCTACACATCCTCTTTAACCTGATCAAGAGACCAGATGATGAGCAGAGGTGTGTATCTGTACACAGAGTATTTATTACCTGACTCATACTCCTGTTATTCAGCCCCGAGAAAGAAAAGAAAAACTAGATTTTTATCAAATTTGTCTGTGTCTGTTTTTAAAGACAAATGATCTTGACGGGGTGTGTTGCGTTCGCGAGGCACGTTGGTCCCACGCGTGTCGAGGCTGAACTACTTCCTCAGTGCTGGGAACAGGTACAGTACACACAGTACACCTGTATTATTGAATATGCTGTCTTTTTTCTGCTATGGTATTACAAAGAGGGCTAGACTTACACGTTCTCTGTCCTATTACAACACAGACTTCAGTTCTGCGAAAATGCTTAAATGCTCTAAGGCAAAGATATTTCCTAGTACGATACATTAGAACCAAATCTCAGTTGTGGCTTGTACTGTTTTTATAAGCATACACTGTTGTTTTGATTATATATTCTGACAGGAAATCACTATTATTAGCTCCACGGTGTCCCTGACTTGTATGTGATAGCATTCTTGTTTTCATCACCACCTGTGTCACCTCATTTGACACATTGATGGCAACAACAGCTGCCAGAAGTCTGGGGGCTGAGAATCTGCTTAGAGGGCCCAATAGTGGTTTCCACAGGGTCAGCATGTTGATGAAACTCCAGTTGTTTCCATTCCACTGTGGCTGCCCTCCAGTCAACGTCTCCACTCCTTTCAACTTCTTTTCCTGAAGTACTTCTAACCTTATGTCCTCTCCACTTCTGCAGATAAATCACAAATATCCAGAGAGGAGATTGTTGGTGGCAGAGTCCTGCGGAGCCTTGGCACCATACCTGCCTGTAAGAACATATTGTGTATACATAATTAAAAGGAGATTTCACATTAGAGGAATAAAATATGAATCAATTCTGGGTCTCTTGCTTCGTGTCTCTGCAGAGGGAGATCCGTAGTTCCCTGGTTTTGTCCATGTTGCAGCAGATGCTCGCTGAGGATAAGGCAGACATGGTCAGAGAGGCTGTGGTCAAGAGTCTGGCTATCATCATGGGTTACATAGATGACCCTGACAAGTACTCCCAAGTATGTGTGTCGGATCATTTGTATCAATAATGACAAAAAAACACTAGTACAATTGCATTTTTTCTCTCTCTGTAAAAGGCTCATTGTGTGTGTCTCTCTGTCTCTCTCTCTCTCTCTCTCTCTCTCTCTCTCTCTCTCTCTCTCTCTCTCTCTCTCTCTCTCTCTCTCTCTCTCTCTCTGTCTCTCTCTCTCTCTGTCTCTGTCTCTGTCTCTCTCTTTTATTTATTTATTTTTCTTCCAGGGCTTTGAGCTGATGCTGCTGTCTCTCGGGGACCCCTCAGAGCGGGTGGTCAGTGCCGTCCACCAGGTCTTTATTCCTGCCTTCGCTGCCTGGACCACAGAGCTGGGCTCACTGCAAAATACACTAATCCCTTCTCTGTTGGCACGGATAGAGAAACTACTTATGGTAAGTGCCTTGCCTTCATAGAGAGCCTTTCTCACTCTTATAGTAAAAAGACATCCAAACAATGTGTAATAATTTGGAGGAAAGGGGTAAAAGTACGGCAATGATACAAAAACTAAATGTGTCTGAAACTGGAGAGATCTGCATTCTTAATATGTATATAAATGACTCTAGTTGAACACACTTTATAACTAACTTTTACCACACAAACAAGAGCACTTACTTACTCATTGCTCTGCTCACGTCTTTACCTCTGTCTTCCTGCAGCAAGGAGAGCATGGTCTGGATGAACACAAGTTGCACATGTACCTGTCGGCGCTGCAGTCTCTAATCCCTCCTCTGTTCGCCGTGGTCCTGCAGAACGCTCCCTTCACCAGCAGAGCACAACTCAACGGAGACATACCTGCAATAGAGGGTAAGACAACGACACAAGTCACTCGTAGAAGTTGTAGTACAGTTTCTGAGTTTCCTTTCTGGTCATGTGTCCTGCAGTGACCCGGTTTCCCAGGCCAGCTTCTCCCCTCCAGGATGTGGCTACCATCATTGGCAGCAGGGAGATGCTCAGTGCGCTGCTGCTGCTCTACGACTACCAGCTGGAGCAGGAGGGAACCACCGGGTGGGACAGCCTGCTCTGGGTGGTCAACCAACTGTAAGAGAAACACACACATAATACGTTCTTTAAAGCTTTGTTCAAAAAGTAAGGTTGACTTTTTTAAACTCTAAATCAACAATTGCTCAACAAACGTTTTGAATATATAGAAAAACAGCCCTAGTTTCACCAAATCATACACAAACATATCACACTCACACTGATTTCCATCCGTCTCCAGGCTTCCACAGCTCATAGAGATCGTGGGTCGCATCAACGTGTCTTCCCCGACCTGCGTACATGAGTTCTCTCGATTCTTCTGGAGGTTATGTCGCACCTTCGGCAAGATTTTCACCAACACTAAGGTAAAGCCATGTGACTAGCCAACATTAAACATTCTCGCAAGAGCAAAAAACTCAGCTACCACAACCCCTACGTTTTTTAAAGTTCGATCTCAGTTCACCTTTTCTCAACAACAAAAAAAACTACCCCCACATATAATTTAGTACTTACTGAATTCTGTAAGGCTTGCTGTGACATTGTACAAATATTCATGACATTTTGTTCACCCTGTACACGACAATTTTCAGGTCAAACCACAGTTCCAAGAGATCCTCCGACTATCTGAAGTTGATGTTGGTGAGTACAGATTAAACTTACACACACACACACACACACACACACACACACACACACACACACACGCACACGTTGTAAAATGTTCTCAGCTCTCTCTATAAAATGTTGTTAGGTGGAGTTGAGGCACAGACGCTGTTGATGTAAACAAACTATTTGTAGTCCTTTTTGGGTGTTCCCCTCGTTTCCTTTTTTTAATTCCGGACATGTTTCTGGAGTTATTATAAGAGGTGCTTGGTCTCAGCTGCCTGCCAAGCGATTTAACTTTGGTATTGTGGCCATTTATAAAATATGTGTTTTGTACTGGGTCCCAGTCTGTGTTTAGGTCACTGTGACTTTACATTTACAAGTGTCCTTTTCAGTAGATGTTTGTAAAACCACAACGATGTAATGGTCACCATATTACAAACCAAATGCCAGGCAAAAAGTAATTAACTGTACCTCATCTCTTCATGTCCTGTCATGTTGTAATGTACAGGAAAATGTCAATCTCTCAATTCTTAACATGTTTTTAACATATTTCATTCTGTTTTTATTCCTCTGTCAGATACTTCTTCAGCGAACGATATTCTCTGCAAAGCCACGGTCCCCATCTATGCCACTGGAGTTCTGACGTGTTATAATCAGGTAAATGAATAGCAGAACACAAATAAGAAGTAGCTTGGTCTTCTTAAAAAAAGTCAATACATCTATGATTTCCTCTATACTTATGGCCCCTATTCTTCTGTGTATGTTATGATATGAAGAGTGTGAACCACACTTATTGTTTCTCCTCATGAGGGAAAATCCGCTCCACACATCATGCCACAACATGTTTTTGTTTTGAACTTAGATTCACAAAACGATGCAGCACTTGCAAAACACTGTTGGCAAGTCAAGCTGTATTTTGATTTCCCTTTCAACACAATGCTTCAACAAAACATGTGTATGTTGAAAGTGACAAAACATGTCTGCTGTACCAACCTACTGATCTGCAGGAAGATGGACAGTTTGGACACATATTCAAATATTGATGTATTTTGTGCGTACATAATGTAATTGAAAAATATGTTCTTAATTCTGTACAGGATGAGGATCGCAAGTTGCTGGTGGGTTTCCTAGAGGATGTCATGACGACCCTGTCTCTGTCCCGTGCACCTCTGGACAGTTTAAAGGCCTCCTTTGTAGAGCTGGGGTGAGACACACACACACACACACACACACACACACACACACACACACACACACACACACACACACACACACACACACACACACACACACACACACACACACACACACACACACACACACACACACACACACACACACACACACACACACACACACACACACACACACACACACACACACACACACACACACACACACACACACACACACACACACACACACACACACACACACACACACACACACACACACACACACACACACACACACACCAACAATCAACAGTGGATTATCAGACTACATTCAGCAATTTTGAACCCATATCTTTTGTCATTTTCCAGTCCTTTTTTTACAATATAATGTAACTGTTACAAAAAATCCATAAAAAAATATCATCTGTGGAAGCCGTAGTACTGTAAAAAGCACGACCAATCATTTTAGCCGGCCCGGCTAAAATAACTGGATGGCCTACCTGCCTGTCAGCCTTCCATCTGTGCACAAACTTATCTCGTGCCTTCATTGGTCATGTGCGCGTTCGTGTGTGTTGGAGGAGGGGCTCTGTGAGGAAGTGGCAGATTTTCTCCGGTTGTGTATTTTCAAATTCTAGCGATCTCGAGCCGGTTTCTCAAACGTACCTACCCCACCTTTAAGTATAGCTGAACTATGCAAGCAGAGAAAGCTTTCAAAGGAAAATCAATTAAATGAAAAACTATTACAGGTGTTTACAAGCAGTGATTGAATAGGTTGTATTTTTATTTCATATCTTTCTTATCACAGTATATGAAATGACTCTCCTTGAAACACGCTTTCTCATGTGTAGTCACAATTATTTGCAGTTTTGCTGGTCTCAAAATAATCTCAAACATTTTGGAAAGTCAGTTATTGTTTGACAGCTGCCCCAATAATAACCAGTATTTATGTTATGCTCTCTTTTCAGCGCCAACCCAGTGTACCATGAGCTGCTGCTCACTGTGCTGTGGTACGGGGTGGTGCACACCTCTGCACTGGTGCGCTGTACTGCAGCACGGATGTTTGAGGTAGGAAAAACACACACAAATACACACAGATAGTGTATTGAACAAGCACAGATTGTTTACAAAAATACTACCTTAAAAATGTGTCATTGTTGAACAGTTTCTCTTTCTTTTTGAATTTTAGCAAGCCATACAAGTAAATGACTCTTCTATAAAGTGTATAACACAACATGGCTGCACAATTATGGATATCATTGTCATTTACATATTGTTTTGCATATTGTGATTATCTTGTTAAAGCATATTGATGTTATGAGTACATTTGAATATAATTATACATGCTGTATTATTGAGCTAAAATATCAGTCATACACAATTGTGCAATACTATATCATTGATGCTATGTTGAAGTTTATCTATTTGCTGTACATGTGCCAGCTCTGCTTGCTGTTGCTGCTGTTTGACATGCATTGTATATTTACTCTGTCTTAAGAGTAAACACAACTGTAACTTATAAGTGCCCGGTTCAAACTGCTTTACTAGACCCTCGCAGAGTTAACATCAGACCGCTCACTGTGCACGGCTCTCAGAACGCACTACATAAATATCTGCTGCATGTCAGCGAGAGGCCAAAGTCAGCAACCTGAAAGTATAATCAAAAGAGTCCAAGGCCTGTTTCTTTTCAGTGTTGTTGGAAAGTATAATTTAATCAGAAATGTTTTTCTCATGAATCTATTTTTCTTACTTATTAGTATTTCAGATCTGTTGAAATATAAAACTACTGTTATGTTTCAAGAGAGCATTTTTGTGCTTGCCAGGTTGCCAAGGCAAAAGTCCTGTCCTAAACACCCAAAAGAAACCACCGTCCTTTGAGATCCGTGCACACTGCAGGTCACATATTGGGCAGAGGGTCTAGGTATAGCAGTAGAGCCGGGCCTATGTTGATCTAAAGTTTGGGGAGGAGGAGGTTTAGGCTGTATTCATGTCCCCCCTGTTTTGTGGAGTACTTTCCCAACACCCCCCACTTTCACCTCTCCATAGTGACTAGCTGTCCACCCTTGCAGAGGGTTGTAATGTGGTCCTCTTTCACAGATCCCAGATCAGATTTGTCAACTATTTGATCAATTAAAAGCTGAAATGAATGCTAATCTGACCTGGAGTCTGTGCAAAGAGCCCACAGCTTTATGCTCACCATACTGTTAAAGTATTTGTGCAGTTTAGCTATGTTGGCTTCACATTCCTTCTGCATACATGCGTGTGCATGTGTGTGTGTTTGTTTGCGTGTGTGTGTGATTGTGTACTCATTTGCTTGATACATACATGCAGTGCCGTTCCGTGCCTTGCAGCTATGGTTTTGTCATTGTATATCACTTTCTTCCTATCTTTTTGTTTTTTCTTTATCCCTCCCCCCTTTTTTTTTTTTGCTTCTTTGTTTTTATCTCTCTATCTATTGGCGGTGTTGCTCGCTCTTGTCCCAATGCCCCGCCCACCTCTGTGACATCACGGCTGGCTCTGTCCAATCCGATCAGCTGCTGGTGAAGGGGGTGAATGAGACGCTGGTAGCTCAGAGAGTGGTGCCGGCTCTCATCACACTGTCCTCCGACCCTGAAATGTAAGTGGAACGACAACAACAATAAACCGCGCCGCGTCTCTCCTCTCCCCCCTTCTCTTTGCCGCTTGAGAACCATCACACTGAAACAAGTCTGTACCTGCCAGGAGCAAACTCAGCACAAAACTATTTCCCAAGACTCTTAACTACATCGATATCTAATTTAACCCATTTCATTTTTAATAACATTCTCCTTCCTAAGGCGTTGTTTGCTCCTGTGCAGGTTTAGGCTGGCCATGTGTTGGTTCATCAGCATGACCAATGTTAACTGCATGTACGCACTAACCCACGCCAGCTCTTCATCGGTCTGCAACACTAACTAGTCCATTATTGTGCCTGCATGCAGCAATAGCACCGTGCCTGCTCCTCTTCCTCCCCTCCCTCACCGTGAAAGCAGAGCCTCTCCTCCTGACCGACCGTCAGCTAGTGGTCGGTTCTCCTCACCCCATCAGTTTTATCCTGTCACTCTATTTTCCTTTCCTCTGTTATCCATACCATCTCCTCTGTCTCCACCTCTTTCCTTCACCCCTCCCTCCCTCCCTCCTCCCCTCTCTCATCCTGCTGTGTGGTGGGTTTGCAGTTGGTTCTCCGAGGCATGAGTGAAGCATTAGTAGATCGCCGTGCGGCTCCGGCCCTTATTACTCTGTGCAGTGGGCCTGAATTGTGAGTCAAACGACACAAAAAAACCTCTCTGTAAACATTGTCATTTTGTGGGCTGCATCCTTACAGTGTTAACCCGTGTCAGTCTTCCTGGAAATGTGTCTGGCTGAGCTTGAATGAGCATTACAAATATGTGAGCATGTGACACCAAAAGCCTTTACTACATCTGAAGTGTATCAGCTCCTTTCACCACAAACATTCAGTGGAAGAGGAAGTTAAAGCCTGGAGTCATTTGCCTCTCTTCCTTTATCCTCTGATGTGAAGCCACACTGATTGGCTAAACAGCTTAAAGTTAAATGAACACTCATCTAGTTTAATCTTCTCTCCTTTCATTACAGTCAAAACATGCCATGCTTTTAAAAAGCCATTTAGCTCTCCTATAAGCAAGATAACTGCATCCAGTTTGTGATTAGACAAGATGATTAAATTTGTGGCAACACTGTTGGAATGCAGCCCTTTGCATCTCATTATTCTCTTTATTGAAAACCACATGCTATTGGGGACACACCAGACCCCAGATTCAACACGTATTGTTTCTATATGTCTGGCATGATATCCTTTACTTACTTCAGCAGATAACCGAGTCTATAGAAATGTCTGAAGTACCTTTTGGTCTGTCCTGCTCCTACTGACATTGGAATGATTATCTAACATCACCCTAACAGCACCCCAATAATCTTGCTTATTTAATATAATCATCACATTTTGTCAGATATTTGACTATGCATTATGTTTTATGAATGAAATGTAATGATCCCCTTAAAAAAAAAGACCCATTATATTTCTTGTTAAGCTTAGTTTAAGAATGCTGTGATGAATATTCCTTATTGATGTAATCTAGTGTTCAATTTAGATCTGGGTTAAAATATAAATAGCTAGTTTGGTCTAATCAGAATGCACCAATACATTTCAATATAATAACTGATCTACTTAAATCAGGAGTTACCAGATGATCATCATTGCAACTATCCAGTCAAATATAAACTTGAACATCAGAGAGGTTAGCTGTAAAACTGGCAGTCCACTGTCTGAGGAACCACCTCAGTCTTCACTGCGGTAACTGACATGTCATTACTATGTAATCACTATATTTGGATAAAACCGAGAACATGTGTTCGCTAAAATAGTCCTACCTCTTTGTGGTTTAGAGTAAATGCTTACTCAGCATTGTAATTACAGATGTGCAAAAAATACATAATTCTAGTTAAGTTTGTCTCAGTAGCAGTATTGGATTTTGTTGTGGTCACTTGTTTATTTGGATAACAAACTGGAGATCAATAAGCACATGTGTAACTCCACTGAGGGATTTAGTCAGCTTAAATAGAAAGTCAAAGAGAAAATGAAATGATGATAGTTTACATGAACATGGCCCAGAAAACTAAATCGGGTAAACGGATAATATTGTATTATAACTTAGCTTAAAGACACACTAATGGGAAACTGAAGAATAGCTTAAATATTGATGCTTAGACTGTGATTGGTCAAACCCGTGTCTTGCTCTCCTGCTGCTTTTAGCTCAGTGAGGATATCCACTATCCCTGCCTTTGGGACCATCATGGAGACGGTCACACAGAAAGAGGTAGGAAGAAGTGCACACGTGTCTATTATACTGACTTATTACTAATACATACAAATAATCACTATAAAGCATGTATTAAACAAACTTTCTGTGTGTGTGTTTAGCTGCTGGAGCGTGTCAAAATGCAGCTGGCGTCCTTCCTGGAAGACCCTCAGTACCAGGACCAGCACTCTCTGCACATAGAGATCATCCGGACCTTTGGAAGAGTCGGTCCTAACGCAGAGCCACGCTTCAGAGATGAGTGTATGTGAAGGACATTTCAATAGTGTATTTCTTATTTAGTTATCTTTGACTGCTTCTTATGTACTAATTATTTGTCTTCCTCTAGTCGTGTTGCCACATCTTCACAAGCTGGCGTTGGCTAACAACAGCCAGACGACGGAGATAAAGAGGATCGACGTCGCCACGCAGCTGTTTGAGGCCTACAGCGCCCTCTCCTGCTGCTGTATCCTTTTCAATCAAACTCAATCATCTGTGAAAGCTGGGCCAATACACTGGTCAGCATGGGTTGAGCTTCGTTAGGGGGACTTTAATTTGTAGTCATAAAACTAGCAATATACTGATCAGTTATGCGTAATATTAAAATTGAAAAAAGGCAGAGTACGAAGGCCATTTTGCTACACGTTTTTACGGATAAGCGCAAGTCTAAATTAGACATCCATCTTTTAGCTTTTGCTGCTAAGCAACTTCTTTGGATGTATAAAACCTCTTAAAGCCCACATGGTCTTTTTATGCAAGTCAAATAGGCCTGTTGCCGGCAGTTAGAGTAGTTTTAAGAGGATAAAAAGAGGTTTTATGTCAGTATGCCATTTGTCGTAAAGCAAGCATTGTAGCGAGAGTGGATGACGTTCATGCTCATGTGTACGATATTCATACTGGTCTAAATGTTATTTGTTATCGTGTTTCCTGTCTTTGCTAAGCAGGAGTTTTGTGCTTAAGGAATTAAAGTCCCCTATAATTGCTTTCCCAAATATACTGCTTTTGATAACCCTGTTGAGGGGGAAACTATGCAGTTCCAAGAGTTCAGCTCACACATACTTTTTTATATCTACTGTATGTATTTCCAAATGATTTACAAGAAGTCTGTGTCAAGGCTGGCTGGAGTTCAGGGTTAGCTGTCGTAGCAGTGAGTCAGTGGGACGGCCGTTAGAACAACTGGTTAGAGGTGCTCCTGAATGCCTCTAGCTGTGTGGTGCGTATCAGCGCGGCCCCTCCATTCAGAGTGTGGTTCAGTGTGTGTGTTGGCAGAGCTTGCCTGTCATTTGGCAGGAGGAGAAAGGGAAAATAAGCTGCCTCCATTTTTGGGGCTGAGGTAATTACAGGCTTGGTTAAGCAAAGGAAAGGATGAGAGAGGGAGAAGGAGCGTGAGAGGAGGAAACTGAACATCAACTCCAATTCTTAGAAACAGTTCCCAGGATAAGACTCACGTTTACATTACCTCTGTCTCTGTCCTGCTGATTGTTTCTCCTTCTTGCTATTACTGCTTTCTCACAGTCTTTTTTTCCTCTCTCTACTCTACTCCAGCAACCCCACCCCTCACACACACACACACACACACACACACACTCACACTCGGAGGAGAGCTGGGCTGAGGTTCATTCCTGTGGATCTTTGTCAAGCAGTGATTTCACAGTGCAGTAGTGTCCAGGAGGTATAGCCCTAACCTCAGAGGCTTTACCTCCCACTGCACTCCTTTCTCATGTAATCAGTGCAAAACCCTCTGAAACTGTGCATTCCCATATCTAAAAATATGAATGTATGCACTCCCTCTGCCATATAGCTCCTCTGGCCATGACAGGTGGCAGAACACATAGAGTCCTGGACAAAGTACTATTGTGCTGGAAACTTCATTTGGTGCCATATACCAATAAACTTATTTTAGGAAGGTTTGTACATTCGAAGACAAATATTTTCTCAACTATTTTGTTTTTAGTGAGACATATTTCTGTAATATTTTGAAGTAAACTCCTCCCTTCTGGTAATGCTGGGAAGCACCAACCCAAATAATATGTTTAACTGCTTGGCCTTGAAAACACCATATTTTTAGTTTCCATGTCTATAAATGTAGTGTGGAAAGATAAGGCATTACATATCTACTCCTAAATTATTTTCTACTCGCATCTGGACTATTTATCACAGTCCTCATTAACTTTGTTACCATCCTTCTCCCTGACACTGGTTACCAGCAACAGTGCAGCTGGTATTGTTTTCATATTCTGTGTGTCTCATCATTGCAAAATATGGTTCTTGAAACACCTTCTGCAGCGGGGCCTACCACAAAAGTGATTTTGCATACACTGCTAGGTATTTCCGTCTGCCTACGACTTTGTCATAGCGATAGGAACCGTGTTAGATGCACTCCATAGTTTCTCTTTGAATAAAATCACACTGTACATTTAGATATTCAGTTTAATATTCCATCCGTCACATACTTATGTATATATAATACCTTGCTTTATATCTTGTTATTGTTCATTTGTAAATTCAACATGTATATTTTCTTCTTTCTTGTCTTTTAATTTGTATTGTGCAATGCCATGTCTTTTATGCTGCAACACAAACATTTCCCAAATTGTGATCAATAAAGTACTATCTTATCTTAATCATGATATGTGTAGTTGTGATCAAAATAAGGGTTGAATTTGAAGATGGGTGTGGTCTGAGCAACCAATTTACACCCCTGGTCCGATTTGACAATGATTGCAAGGTGGTCTCTGTTTAAAATATATGTTTAGTTGCAGTAGGTTCAGTTAAATAGGTTGTTTTGCTCTCTTATCCACGGAGCTGCACGGTGCTTTGGATCCACTGGTTATTATTTCAGTCCTTAACTTCCTGTGCAGTTATTTCTGAGGAGGTGATGGTCAACCACTTCCTGCCGGGCCTCAGGTGTCTCCGGACTGACATGGAACAACTCTCACCTGAGCATGAGGTCAGGAGACACTCGCACAGGGGAGGGGTTGATTCACACACTCACAATGCACGCATGTTTTTAGTGTCCTGTCTGCATCCTCACGCACTGATAGGCCAGACTGTCTCCCTCTTCATATCTTTCTCACACACTCATACACACACCTCTGCACATTTTTTATTTGAGTCTCGGAATCTCATGCGATCTATTTCATGTAAGAATTTTCCCAAGGTGACTAATGATCAGCTGATTGTTTTCCTCTGAACACATCCGCTCTGTCTGCGCAGTCTGCATACCAGATTCTGAGACAGGAATTATTTTTCCAACCGGAACATTCATGCATTAAAACATACAAATAGATAAAGATGTTTTTATTTTTGCCATGTTTGGACAGAATTACTGTACACCCCTTGTCTTTTACCACTTGAGTAGTTAAATTGACATTGTATTAAATATCAATATTCTGCGGAAGCCCTGAGATGCAAATAGGTAAACAAATCTGCTTTATAAATTAAGAACAGGTAGAGTAAAAAGCTGCTTTTGTTGAGTGGGTTTAATGTCATTAACCTATATGTATCCTGTGTTTAGAGTTCACCTAAAAGAAACATGAATTTAGTTCTGTTGCTAACATGGGCTAATGATACTCTTCATCCTCTTGAGGCAGAAATGATTATTACTATAACTATTCTAAAATAAATCACCTTCCAAAACCTAGAAACCTTTTTTTCTATCTGTTTACTGATATGGCAAAAATGATTGCAGTCATAAACACCGGAAATAAAACAATTTGCCTCTCAGTGCTTCCACAAGATTCAGTCTGTCTCCTTAATACATGTTGCTCTTTTTGTATCCTCAACAGGGTATTCTGAGTTCCATGATCAAAGAGTGTGAAATCAAGATTGAAAACAGAGGAATGGCAGACGCACAAGGGTGAGAAAAAGCAACGTCCCATTCACACCATCACATCTTCTTAAACACGGTTTCAATACTGTTTTTCATTGCATGAGAGGCAGTGACAGCTATAAGTGATGACTTTAAGTGGCAGTTGGGAACAATAAGGAAAAGTGAGAAGTATTCCTACTGTGAGGAGAGGGTTCACCTAACAGTGTTGGGACTGGGCCCATTTTGTGTGGGTTAATACCCCAGGGTAGAACAGAACATGTGAGAGTGTTGGACCACACTCATTATGCGGGTATCTTCACAGAGAGAGCAGAAAATGTTGTTTGGAAAGCGTTTGGACGCCAGCCATACTGTGGGTGTCCTTTTTTAAAACATGTTTCTCCCATCTTGTTAACATGTGTTCGGGCTCATTAAAAAGCGTTCATATATGGATGTCAGAAGTGGCTATATGTCTGCTTCTCCCTGTGCACGCTCTCTGTGTTTTGGGTGTGTTTCCCCCAAAAACCCTCAGTTAAACTCTGAGGTTAAATTCTCTGTGTTTGTGCCGAGAGAATTGTTCTCTTTCATTTTGGTCAGACAACTCTGTCTTTGACGTTTAATACAATAAATGATCAATTGGATCTTTTAAGGAATGTTGACCTTATTTGCCCCAGTGCGGTCGTTGCTTTCACCCTGGGATGAAATATTCCAAAGCACTAAGCACTAATTCTTTGTAGCTTTTTTTACATGCAAAATGGAAAATAAATCAGTATAGTATGTCCATAATGTTATCAACTCCAAAAATTCATGTTGAACACTTTCATGCATACAAAAAATGTATATTTGTAGAAAAAAAGTCATAGTATAGTTTGTTAAAAAGATTGAATTAAAAACATAGACATTTTTTTAAGATATCATACATTTTAATTAAATTAATTCAGTTTATATGTTAAAAATGCATTTCACTTGTTCATGGACCTTTCTTCAAAAATAAATTGCCAAGATTATTCAAACAGATAAAGTGATACACACAGCAATACACAGGAAAGTTAAGGCCACAAAATATGATCCAGACCAACTGTTCTTGTATAGTAACTAAGTGATGGTGTTAATCTGTCAACACCTGTGACCTCTTTGATTATCCGTCTGTTGAGCAATGCTTGTTATTTAGCCGTTCCATTGCATCAGTGTGAATACCAGCTAACTAAAAAGAGGAACTTGTGGAGCCGTTAGACTGTAAAAATCAGGAGGGGCTGTATTAGCAAACAGCTTTTCCCTCTAAAGAAGTAGAGTAAAGGCCGACTGAAGCTCGTCAACAGATAGGAGGATTGTCTTGTTTCTGTTTTCCAGTCCAGATAACCTTGCTTCATCATGGTCAAATTCATCCTTTACGCCATGTTTTTTTATCTCACAGCTCAATGTCCATTGCCTCCAGTTTGGTGGGCGAGGATGCCAAGACCAAGTTCCTGAGCAAGATGGGTCAGCTGACCACGTCTGGAGCCATGCTGGCCAACGTCTTCCAGAGGAAGAAGTGATCTCTACACTGACGACCCCCTGCTGGCTTCGGGAGCTTTTCATTCTACTGGAAAAAACATTGGTTCAGCTTAAAGTAGACATGTATTGTTTTTTCAATCTCAAGAAATGAAGGTTTGCTGAAAGTTGTGTTGGTTTAAAATCAGTGCAGCAAATACTTAAAGCTGAAAATCAATGTTTTTTTGCAGTGAACGGTTTTCCCTCTGCTCATATTCTTCTACTTAATCATGGCGATGGCATCGTCCAGGACGAGGGATTTGCTTTTATGAATCAGAGTTGTCAACATTGTCATTTCAGAAAGAGGAGAAGGACTGAAGGACAGTGTAGGGATGCACCCAAAGTGAAGGGTTCCTGGACGTTTCTGGACTTGAAAGTATGAATTTAAGTTGATTTCAGTGCAGTACTTCCTGTATCAGAAGAGCTTCACTCATCTCTGAGAAACTCTGAGCACGGCCTGCTGGATTTAATTTAGAATTTCAAACGGCAGTTGTGCGATAGATGCACTGACTTGCATTTGTTGTAGAATAATGATTCTAATTGACAACAAAACGGCTCTGCCTTGTACAGTGTATCTGTACTACTCTGAAGTATTGCATACTTGAAGCTATAAATCTTATGTCTTGCCTTTATTTCATCAGTCTGTCACTGTTTTTTTGTTTTGACAGGTTCTGTTTTATAACTTATTTATGTCTTAATGAAAAAAACCTTATTCCAACTTCCAAAGAAATTTGCACTTCACTTGTTCTTTATTATATACACTATATATATATTTGTTTTAATTCAGAGTCTTATACATAATGAACATTATCACTACTGTTGTTGGATTTATTTTATCCGTTTTGGCAATGTGAAGTTGAAGAGAACACTGACCTTGTTATTCCCTCAGTCCGTTGCATCTTGTCTGTGTTGCAGTGTCTCTGATATTTTTTTTTTTTTCTAAACTGGGTATTTGGTTCTATTTTTTGTTGTTCTTTTTCAATATGCTCTACGAGAAACGGTAAATAACTGTATCATACACTGAACTAAAGAGGATGGTACTCATTATGTATATTTGAAATCGGTGTCATGGTTTAATAAAAAATGGACATGAGTTGTGTACTTAAATATACTTCTGGAGGCCTCATTGAATGCCTGCACGCTGTTTTCAAGTTCTGATTATGGCTCAAAGTGTCGGCAGGTGTTGAAGGCTGTAAAAGAAGTCACTCCACAGACAAACACGCACTCCGTCTGTCCTGGCCCCTCACATCCAACCCTTTGATGTGCTCTATTGTCTGCTTAGTACAACAAACCAAAGTCCATCTTAAGGGGACATTCCCAACAACTTACTACAGATATGAGAACAGAAGTAAAATCTCAGATCTGCCGGCAAGATTGCACTTTCTATCCATGCTATCTGTACTTTAAACAATGAGGTTAACTATGGCCTGTATCCTTAAAAGAGAACTATTGTTTCACCTCGAAGGAATTAAACGGAGCGATCAAAGCACAGCCAATCTTTAAGAGCTGCACTTATGTAGTGGTTGAACAAAACAAGAATGAACAAACACTTCTTGATAATAACATGATTTGCATATTCGGGCTAATATTCAACCCTGATCACTGATAACATGGCAGGTGGGCAAATAATTGATTCACGACCAGGTGGAACGGGAGGGCATGGCAGCAGTGTGTGTACATGTGTGTGTGTGTGTGTGTGTGCTCTCACTCCTGTGTGGGTGTGCCTGTGTATCCCTATCTGTAGATATGTGTCAGACAGACGCCTGATATGTGATTTGCATTCCTAGTGAATGGTGTTGTTCTTTGTGTGTCAAAAAAACTTTTCTGCTTGCCAAGACCCTTGCTTGGCTTTTTCGCCATTCAAATATGTGTTTGCACATCTGGGTGTGAGCGTGTTTTTCTCAATAAGCAATGTGTGTGTTTTCATGACATTTCTTCTGGCATTTTTGGCGCTGCAGAAATGGCGTCAGGAGGCACCTCTCACATTGGTGACTCTGGTGACTCATAGATCACATCCGTTTCCAAAGCAAGCACATCCAGCCCAAAACCCACCGGAACACGGTGGCTAAGCATAACGTTTTTATTCCGTTCAGTTCTGTGTGTGTGAGGGCAATAAGCATGTTTTTCTGCCTTTTGTGCTTTTCAGGGAGCCCATGCTGAACCTCTTGAAGCTTCCTCCAAAAATCATGGCACCAAAACAGGCTGCGGCTGCTTTCTTCTCTGGAATGAGTGTTTGTTACTTTAATGGAAACCATGGCGTGTGTTTTTGTGCATTTTTGTGTATATGAGCCGTCTGGAGCAGGCCTCCTTCGTGAACTTTGACTTGTTGTAAGTGATGCTTAGCAACACAATCCATACTGACTCGGGTCATTTGAAGTGTGATGCTTGTAAAGCAGCATGCATACGTTTTTTTATACATAAAACAAGCTGCATTGTGACCTCTGTTTGAAGTGGAGCCTAACAGTGACTTCTCTGTGTTTTCTGTTGAGTTTTGTTGGTAGGGCCTGACTTTGGATGCCTGGCTCTTAATTGCTACTGTGCGAGCTGCAGAGGCTCCACCACGAAACAGCTTCTCTCAGCATGTTTTTACAGGAAGAGGGGGAGGATGAAGCCCATTACCTCCAGTGGTTCAGCCTAAAACCCTCTTAATATTAACTTTTTTCAAAGTTCTTTCTTGCTTGTCTCTCTTTTATTTTTTAGGTCCACTTCTATAACTCTTTTCAAGTAATGAAGATGTCCTTGCATCTGTGTTATACCTTGTTTACCTCTTTTCTCCTAACGTGCTGACCAACCCTTTCCCATATTCAAGGTATTTGCATAACTGTCACTTTGAAAAGAACATTTATTCTCCACTCTGCCTAACCTTCCCTCTATTGACTTGCCAAGGTGGGCTTGGTCTAATCTCCTATGCAAATTCTGTGTGTTTTTTTTCATCTCTATTTTCCCTGGGAGCAAAAAAAAAACCAGCTGTTTCCTGGAGGCAGAAAGCTTTTAAATAATGGCTTCTTTAAAAAAATGATCAGGGTTGTTCCATTGCAGGACATACACTCCAGGAACTGCTGATGCTACTGCCTCCTGTGACGAATGGCAAATGATGTGAGATCAATAAAAATGACTACATGCTTTCCCTCCAGTTTGTGTCATCGGAATGAATCAATGAAGTGAGGTCATAAGGTACATTGTTGAGCAAATCATATGGAAAGTGCCGCATGTCCAGTGGTGTAGAGTAACTAAGTACATTTACTCAATGACTGTACTTAAGTACAATTTTGAGAGACTTTACTTGAGTATTTCTATATTTTGCTACTTTATAATTAAAACTATAGCTGCACTTGTACCAGCTTTGTTCGCATATTTATGCATCAATAATTATAATGAAAACATCATATATATTATTCTGAACTGGACCAATCTGCATAATGAGTACTTTGGTACTTTAAGTATATTTAGATGCCGATACTGTTGTGCTTTTACTTGAGTAACATTTTGATTACAGGACTTTTTCTTGTAACATAGTATTCCTACACTCTGGTATTTCTACTTTTACTTGAGTACAAGATCTGAGTACTTCTCCAACCTCTGCACATGTCAAATCAGCATAGGTTGTGCATGTTGTTTGAACATTAGGTGTATAAAGGTTCCATGATGCTCTAACATATCTGAAAACAATGAACTCTAACTGTCACAAACACACTCATTCATTCAGAGGAAGAGATAAGCGCTTAGAGCCACCAGGAGGGAAAAGAGGGGGGGGGTGTAATATTTTTTCTTTTTTTCTTCACATATGACATCGTGGGAGGAGTTCCCTCAGTCAGTTTTTACAAGCTGTTGCTTGCAGCTCACTCCACAAAGCGTGGGTGAAAGCAGAAGGAAGATGAGAGGAGAAGTAAGGTGGAACTGCAGCTGCCTAGAACGGAATGAAGGCGCAAGAATGCCCTGTGAGACGGTGTGGAGACCCCGCCACATTTACGCACACAATAAGTGATTTACTGTGAGGGAATCGGTAGGAGAATTGGATCGTCGTGTTACGAGTCGTCATTTTGCCTGAGAAAGAACAAGTTGCCTTCAGAAGTTGTCTTCACTAACCAGCAGAGATGAGATTTAACTTGTTGATACTCCGAGGCTGGATAACATGCGTCCTGGTCACCTTTTACGCACAGGTAAAAACACACTTTGATAATACAAAGAAGTTCTTTTTCAGATAACTATCTTTATTTATGACTAAATAAAGAACCTTGAACTGCATTTAATAGTTACACGTTGATAATTACTTTGCTGCAACTTTTTTTCTCCTAGTCATACTTTTTGGAGCTGTCAAGTTTAAAACTGATCATCATAATGTTTATTTTCGCGAATAGATGGAAAATAGCGTATGTTAGAGTAAACCATAATGTGTCATCACATCAGATGATTGGTATGAACTGGTCAGAGGAAGAAAGAGTGGAATGGGGGTTGGCTTTTACGCACGGACACTGACTGGAAACGGTTTTGTTTTGGTGTAGTCCTACTCCCCTGTTCTGACCACAAAAACGCCGCTGGCAACTGGATGCTGTTATCCCTTTACCAAGCATTCTCTCCCGCGTCCTGAGGGGACTGGCACGGGCCAAATGGCTCACCACTCACCAGGAGCCCTAATAGCTCTTCCAAAGTGAGAAGCTGAGGCCAACAAGGGTACAGAGATCCAGAAAGGAAGTCACTACAAATAAAGATAAAGTTATCCTAGGTTTTCATTCCCCTAGATATATGGATTACAGCAACTATGTCACTGCCATTGGCAAATACCATTGCAAGGCTCGAGGCACTTACTTGATCCAAAGTATGATTTTTTTTTTGTGATCATTTTCTTCTTTTATGACAATATCTTAGTATTATATGAGAGCTACAAAAAGTCTCAGCTGATCCACAGTTTAAATGAGAGGAAAGTGAATGTCCCATGGCATGTTGTTGTCCATGTTGTTTAGTCCGAGGAGCTAACTCCGTCCAGGTGGAGCAGTTTATGAGATGTGGTTGCAGTGGTGGGACTGCTGGGCACCAGTGATCACTGCGTTTGCCTATGTTACCGTAAGCAAGCATCGTTATGACTTTGACTGGAACAGACTCTCTTTCTTCCTTTTTTCCCTTCTCTGCTTCACTAAAAAGTTGTGCAATAGATAATACCAAGGGAGGGCATTGCATATTATCCATGCTGAGATCTAAAGAGGTAATATGGCACAGAAAAAGGAGGTGTTCACGGTCAAATGCAAGTCTCATTTTGTTAAGTATCGGCAATGCCAGGAAAAATAGTCAGTGCCTAAAAGGACTGAGACGTATTTTTCATCTACGTTTTAAGGTGACACTGCAAACCCTTGGCTTTGGTTTGTTCCTGCCGTTACTGACTCACAGTATCCCCAAAGAATTCCCCTTCATATTCTTGGTTTTCAACCACTCCATCCTTTTCTTTCCAAGTACATTTCTAACTGTCTGTGTGACATTGAGCAACATAAAATTACTTCAAGATGTTGAGATCTTAAAAAGTCAACACATCATGAATAAACAGAGTTTTGGTGGATTGATTTACTCGCCTGCAGACATGGCTCCTGTGCTTTTTATTAGCTGGCTTGTTTAGCCACTCTGACCATCTTTCTCAGATTCAGTCATCCAACAGCAACAAGTCTGCATGTTAATTATTCTCTTAATGATGGGCTTTTTCTCCTCATAGCTCCATCACATTACGCAGTGATCAGTCTACCTCGGCTTCAGCAATATCAGGCCTGCAGATCCCAACTTGATTTAACTTGACAGATATGTAATGCATAAATAAAGCATACTGTGTTGTTTCACAAAAGAGGCAGGAGGAGGAATTAGAAGTGTCCATGTCTCTGGTGATTTCCCACTTTTTCTTTTGTGATAAGCCAATCTTTCTATAAATATTAAGTAATTTGTCGTGCAAAATTGTACTACATTATGTTTTTTGCCCCTCAGATATGGAAACATCCTGCTGTTTTTTATCTTAAAATCTTAGAAAGTGAATATCTTTGGGTTTTACACTGACAAAACAACACATTTAGAACGTTAACTGGGGCTTTGAGAAACTGGAATGGATTTGTTTTTTTAGTATTATCTCTGAC